TCGCTGAAAGGGCCCTTAAATAACTTCAAACTCAAAAGCGAGGGGGCAAGCGCGGTTGCGGGAGAACGCGACACTTCTGGTTGGGTCGTTTCGGAGGCGGGAAAAAAACTAGAGTTTCAGGACGACGCAATTTTTGACGTCACTGCGCTGCACTGGTACAGATCATGCGGGAACTTAAAATTCGGCTTTTGGAAATTGTTTTTTTACTTCACAAATACTGAGTTCCCAATCTTCGAATTTTGTGTGTAATGTCAAGGCATTGTTTTCAATTGTTTCAGATAATAATAATAAAAAAAAAATATAAAAGAGAAGATTCGGACCTGTCAGTGCCCCTTTAAAGGGGCCCTGCAACAACTTTTTGACTGATTTTTAATCTGCACCGATGCTGAGCGCACTGAACGTAGTAACTTAAAAAAACTTTTCTTTTCTCAAATTTCGCTGTATTTTAAAAGTTATAAGCAAATTAGAATTACAAAAACAAGCAAAAAATAACGTCCTTCATGACGTCGTAGGTCCTGGCTAGAGTGGCCGTGAACTAGAGGAGGAGTAGTGAGCTCATCGAGCACTCACGGCTGCTGCACTCCGTGTCGACGGCTCGAGAGGGCGCCAATAAAGCACGTGTTGGATAGGCTGTATGAAGTGAGCGGTCAGGGCGGCTCGCATTGCATTTGCTGCACGATTAACGACTAATTCGGCATAACACTTCATTGGCCACAAACGACAGCAAACACGAAGTAAAGATCAGTTCAGAACAGGAGCAACTTTGCACTGCCATACCGCCAAATGGCCAAATCGCCAGCCAAGCCCGCGCCGAAAGCCTTCGGAACGCTCGGAACCGGTCGGGTCCTCGAGCCGGTATACGACCGCAGCGCCGCCGCGTACATCCGGGACCTTTCTACGCACGCCGTTCGTCGGCGCCTCATCCCACTAGCCCTTTCTAGTATACGCCGTTTTTTCCGCCGCTTGGTGGCGGGTTTGTTGACGGGTCTTTTCTTGTTTCCATACTTTAACAACTGCATTTGTTTCTTTTCTGATCTAAATTACCGAACAAAAACTACTTTCATACATAATTAAAACGGTTCGCGACACTTATATTTTGTGTTTCGACTAAAAAAAAAGCTTTTAGCGGCTCTGACCAGTGGTAAGCCCAAGACCAAAGACGTCGCATATCGCACGCACGCTTTCGCCAACGCAGGTCGCCCTCGTAGGTGGAGGAGGTTTCCGCGTCGTCCGGTTACAATATGACACACTGATATTTAGTTACTCTCTCCTTGCCCGCTGGGTTGCCCGAACCCCAAGAGACGTGGAAACCGCAAAAAAGTTAGACGCTTACCGTAATATCCCGAGTCATCGCCCACCCCCCTACCGCCTGAAATTCGTTAAAAAAGTGGGGTGGGCCATGTCTCGGTGGGTGAGCACAAACACTTGAAAAAAAAGCGGGAAAAACCGCCTATTTTTCTCTGCGTATCTAGCGCTGATGCACAAGAGATACATCAAACTCAAAACTCGATTTAGTTTCATTGTTTTATAGAAAAAATGCTCACGAAAGAATATTTTACTATAGCGAAGTCCGTTGCTTGCATACGCGCTAGAAACACCGCCGATCTGCATATAGCGCGAACGTTTGTTCCCTGAAAGAATGTCAATATTATGTTCTCCTAGTTAGTAAAAAAAAGAAAAAGAAAAGTCTACAAGAAAATAGAAAAACCGACCAGGCGCAACGAGCAAGCGAGCAAGCGAGCGAGCGGGCGAGCGGGCCAAAGAAGCGACCAAGAGCAATGCTGGGAAAGCGGGAAAGCCGGCGGTCGCGTTGGCAAATACTTTGGCGTCGGGCGAAGTCGGGCGCCTTGTCAATTGCAAGCTCTTGCGCAACTTGTTTGGTGCGTACATACGTGCGTCCGTCCAGGGCGGGCTATCAATGCACGGTTGGGACGCTCTGCAAACGTCTGTGTAGGACGTTCCAGCAAAGCTTTATTTACGCTTTGGCTTTGCCTAAAATATTGCACAACCGCGGTCGCGACGGGCGGGAAGAAGGAGCGGGTTCGCGGTGACCTTCGGCGGAGACAGACTTTGACCTAACACTCCGCGGTTACGTTAACAAACTCTTATTTTGTTATCTCCATCGTTTTCTTTTCGCACGGATACACGACCACTTTGGGGTCGCTCACGGAGGAAATGCGTAAACAAAAAGAAGTGTCTTTCCCTCCTTCGTTTTACTTTGTCACGGACGTCCTCCAACTGTAAGGTCCGCGACCGCGTCATTCGGGTAGGATGAGTGTTCGCGGATCGCAGAGTCCGCGCTGGGGTATTTGAAGGGGTGGGCGATGACTCGGTGTTTTTTCGGAAATCGATATTGGCCCAAAAAATGGGGTGGGCGATGGCTCGGGGATGGGCGATGACTCGGGATATTACGGTAAATATGATTGCAGGGCCCCTTTAAAGGGATACTACAACGAAATTTCGGCGCTCATTTTTTGGTCTACATGTGCTCAAAAAAGCAGCATCGCATCGAACATACCAATATCTTGTTAAAAAAGTCACGAAAAGGAATTTTAAAACGAATTAAATGATTAGCAAAGAGCACCTGGTGGATGTCGCTAACGCCTCGCTTGTAATGCCCGTCTAGGAACCTTGACAGCTAGTGACGGAGGTGGCAGGAGGAACTCCCCTCTACCCGGGAATGCCTTTTGTGTGTCGCAGAAGTCGCTATTGTCCCCCTACAAGATTACAGAAGATTAACCCGTCACTCAAAATTCGTACAAAAGCAGCCACTTCGGCGGCTGGAACGACTAGGCCATCCTCTCGACGTCAGCCTCGCCGTAGCTTTGCTCGTCTTGAGACGACCTACGTCACGATTGCGTTGGATGTCACGTGGTCTCCGCTGGGCCTTCCCCGAGTGCTTGCCAGAGTGGGCCGTTTTTAACGAAAAATACAGCCACCAGGCTCAAAATACAAATGTGCGATTGTGATTTACGGATATTGTGGATCATATTCAACCTATTTTTGAACACGACGGGAATAATTCAAATTTTGTTGAAGTATCCCTTTAAAGGGCAACTCCGCTCAATCCAAAAATTTTGTGATTATGAGTGATTTCCCATTAAAACTAATAAAAGGCACTACATCATTTGCTCCTCGGAAAATGCCATGTAATTTGTGAAATCTTGCTTTAAACATGAGCAGACACCAAAACCAAAATTCCAACTGCGTCACGCAACATTGGCCTCTGGCCGCCAGAAACATGGCTACCACGTGGTACGAGTGGTCACGTGATCCTCTACCCAACAATGGGCGGGATTGGGGTGGGCCACCGTTGGGGCGGGCATGTGCAAGGTGCGTATCGTTTGCACCACAGTCTTCTCCATGTTTTGGTGTCCGTGATAGCCGATGACATTGGCACAACTGCGACATCAGTCTGCGCACGTAGTGTGAACGGAACTCTTTCGTTTCTCTCGAGTCTTGGTCCATCTCCAGTACTGTGAAAGATAACTACGCTCAACACACTGTTCTGGAAATTTTTGTTGTTGTCTTTCTCGACTTCCACTCTACTCATTGGTTTTAATGTTACCTCCACAGTTAGCTGGGACATTTAAGACTGCGGTTCTTGTTATTTTTCTTCGAGCGGATGGATTCTGTCTCCCGTGCAGCGGGGCGTTGGTGGATCAACAGCGAAGGGGGTGCCTAGAAAAGGCAATGTTTCCCAGGGCAGCAGCTGTTATTGTTGGCCTGGGGAAGGGGGGGGGGGGGGGGGGGGGCATTGACTTATTTTAGGACGCCCCGACCGCCGCGAAGAGGCACCGGTGTGGCAGAAGATGTGCCGCGAATCGCACCCTGCCCAGTGGCGGGTACACCGACGCCAGGCCATGGGCGCCAGGGGAGAGGAACGCCCTTTCAGTCACTACGTCCACTGTGATGGATGGGATACTCAAGCCGAAACAAAATGACTTGCCCTTTCTTCTGCGCCTGGTTATTTTCGGGGTAAAGGATCGAGCGGACCGCGACACTGGCACAAACTCTTAAAGCCGGAAAATGAACTATGTGCCTAAGGCTTGTTCATGCAATTGCGTTCGCTTAGGACCAACTCCCTGTGATCTCTTACGGCGAGAGAACACACTGGCACACTGGCGTCCCCTATGAGGTGACCCTGGAACTGCACTCAACTGGAGCAAAGGTTTTGCAGTGTTTGCAAGATCAAATGTACGCACTATCTATGGGGAAATGGTAATTCGTAACATTGTCAGAAATTTTTCAAACACCCTCCCCCCCCCCAAAAAAAAAAAAAAAAAACAACAGAAAACAACACAATTATGCTCGAAAAAAAAAAAAAAGAAGGTAATATTTTCTTTCTGGAGCCGCCATTTTGGTGCTTAGTGCAGAGAGGGTGCAATTAGTGATTGTTGTTATATTTAGGAAGTGCAACTTCTGCGCTTTACATGTGGTGTCCGAAAGCCCGGGCGATATCGTTTTGCCTTATCGTAAACACTTCTAAGATTTCTGGAGGACGGAAAAGCGTTTCCTGCGATTTCAGAAATGGCTTCAGGCAACTGGCAACAATGATTTTAAGCACCGAGATGGCTAAGTATCATTACTCTAAAGCATAGCTTACTCAGGGGCTCTAATTCTCCCGACTTCTATGGGAGGAGTTCTTTCCTCTCGTGGTTACGTTCTGATGTTGACCTGCATGATAAGAGAAGGAGCACAGCCCACCGTGATTTTTAGATTACAGATCTCTTATGTACATAAATGGTGTGGCAGTTTTCGGCGACACTCACGTTGGGGAAATTGGAATTCGTCTTTGACAACATTGGGCATCTCATATCCTCTAAACCCCTGAAACACCTGCAAAATCATCCTTAGCCTCAATGCCCACAATTATCTGTGTCTTAGATTTTCTGACCGTCTACATACTTTTCGAAGAGAAACGGAACAGTATTATTGTGTCGACATCGACGCTGGCCGGCTGTCGTCATCGCTGACCGAGCGGCCTTCTTCTCCCGCAGTCACCTGACCCAGACCACGACCTGGGAGGACCCCCGCAAGAAGTCCTCGGGGGCGGGTCCCAAACACCACGCCACGCCGCCACCGCCGCCCCACACGGCTGCCCCGGCCGCCTTGCACTTCAAGAACCTGGGGCCTCTTCCCGACGGCTGGGAGCAGGCCACCACAGGCGAGGGGGAGGTGTACTTTATCAACCACATCGAGCGCACCACCAGCTGGTTTGACCCTAGGATACGTAAGTGCCCCATCTGGATCGTTTTGGTGTGGTACTCGAGGTCATTGACAGTCTGGTGCCTGGATTGCATCTTCAACTGGCGTGGTCATTGTCCTGTCTTGCCCACACATCGAAAGTGGCAACAAATGACATTGCAGAAGCCAAAGCGTCATGTTGCTAGATGTCGCATGCGATGGTTCATGATGAGTTTTAGATGGTTAGAACAAAATTTTGCATTTATTTTGTGAAAAATTGATGCTTGGATTGATTAATCATTCCAGACACCTTGTTTATTTGTATTGTTTTCAAAGAGAGGTTTTGAGTGGTACTCGCTCCTTGGAAAGATATTTTTGAGAAAACCTAATGCTAGAATTTTCGGGTCCATTTAGCAGTGTACTTGAAAAAACCAGGTCACAGTTTTGGGCCGTACTGTCTGGATGTGTTGCTTGGAGACACTTTTCTCTTTTGCCATCAAGTATTTAATCATTCAGAAAACAATCACCGTGTTAACTATTAGAATTTTTAGTTTTGCAATAGTTTCATGCAGGGCCTGCTGTATTTATTCTGACATTTTTTTTCTCCTTTTGTCGAACAGCAATTCACCTGCAGAAGCCCCTGTTACAGAACCAAGGCAATGTTCCTGGCATATCGGGGCCATCGCCAAATCAGGTAAATTTCATTTCACAGTAAACAGTTTTATTGAGGGTGTAACGAATCAAAATAAATTTGTAACAATGCTACTTCTACTATAGCGTTGTTGGAATAAACAAAATGGGGGGGGGGGGGGGGGGGGGAGGGGGGAGGGGGGGGAACCAGACTTCGTTAATGCTGCTATACTATTCAGTAACTTACAACTAAAAACTGTCATAACCATGTTTGTTAACATTACCGTAATATCCCGAGAAATGCCACACCCCCGGAAGATAACCAACTCCTATTTTTGACATGATTTGCTTTTTTGTTCTGAAACACCAAAAGATAGCCCACTTCTAGTAATTGCAGGGCCTTTTCCAATGGTGGCTTCGGCAGAAATGGTGTTATCTTATCCAACGAGGGAGACAAGCGAACATTGCTGATTGGGAAGGACTGCGATCACAAGTTTCGAGGTTCACAAAATCTAAAACTAGCATATTTTTCAACTTTTCTTTTATGCCACATTGAAAGTTTACCCACCCCTTGTTTTTGTCCGATTTGCTGTCGATTTTAAGTGGGCTATCTCTCGGGATGTTATGGTAAGTGACTGCACAAAGTTCTTGAAAGGAAATGTATGTTTAACGAGAAAAGAGTCAAAGTACAGGCTAGCTGGTGGAAGTCAACCATTTCGTCGTTTACCCTGAAACTGGGTTTTTTTTTTGAAGAGCAGAAGAACAGAAAAAACAGACAGGTCTCAAGACCTGTCTGTTTTTTCCGTTCTTCTGCTCTTCAAAAATCAAACCCCAGTCTCAGGGTAAACGACGAAATGGTAAACGTATGTTGTTTTTGAACTACGTAGTAATAAAGGCTGTTTCTCTAATTGATGACACTTCCTGGCTGTCTGAGATGCCCATATCTTTCAGCTGTGTCACATAGAACGAATGTCTTACCATTGCCGCCGAGAGAACATGCGTGACATTGACCAACATCTATGACGATGAAAAGAGTATGCCAAGGCTGCTGTAAGAAAAAAGGTCAGGAATAATGAGTTAAAAAAAAATAAAAAATTAACCACTACTTTTGTTAGTGTACCGATCACTGTGGCTCATGCTCCCTGGAGAACTGGACTTCTTTTCCAGTTTATTTATTTATTTATTTATTTATTTATACTGTGAGCCTTTCTGGTGCTCTTACAAAAATGTAAAAGTACACATGAAAAAAAAATTTTTTTTTAATATGTTGCATAAGCAGGAAGGACTTAACTTCAGTAAAGACGCACATGATTCAAAACTAAAACAGCAGCTGCACTAAAGGTAAACATGAATATATATATATATATATATATATATATATATATATATATATATATATAGTATATATATATATAAAAATGCTTTCCAATGTGCCCCATTATCAGCAAAAACAAAGTGCAATAAAAAAGAAGCACACAAACAAACATAAATTTGCAGCAAAGAAACACAGGAATATAAAAAAGAATACTCCTTTCAATACGCCGCATAATGAGCCAAAAAACAACTGCCTTCACGTAAGGCCAAGCTCACCAAGTGCTAATTAAAATAACAAACATAGTATAAATTTTCCGAGTGTCAGATGCCTCCATTTTTGGATTGTCGCCCCCTCTCAACTTGAGAGGCTTGCACTTGGAATCATTTCAGCCTCGTCCTCCCCCTCCGCAGCTGCCTGGGTCCGGCAACCCTGCGGCCATCGGCGGCCCTAACTCCCCCGAATCGATGAACGCCATCTCGGCCGTGGTGGCTGCTACAAGCTCCCTGACCATTCAGCAGCAGCGCCAGCAGAAGCTGCGCCTTCAGCAGCTGCAGATGGAGCGGGAACGCCTCAAGCTTCGTCAGCAGGAGATCCTCCGACAGGTAGGACTGCACACTGCAAGAGGTGCCTGCATGGGACTGTCGCTTACTGTCGTTGCATTGCTGTTTGGGCTGTGACTGGACTGCGCATTTGAGACAAAGCATATTGATACAGGCCGTGCATGACAGAACAGAGATGCGATAGGAAGAGCAATGCAAGTTTGTGCAAAAATGTGCACCAATGGGACCCTTAGTTTTGGGGTAAAAGCCAATATTTTCCTTTATTTACACCCCAATCATGTTTTTTGAAAATCTGGTTAAGCCCAAGTTTTCTCTGGATTAGAAACAAAAATGTTACCAATTTCCCCTTGTTTTTTGCATTGAAAAAGTGTGGAGTTCATTAACAAAACTTTTTGAAACCATGCATAACAGAAGCAATGCAAAATATATTAGAGTAATACTTCCTGTAAAAAGTTATTTCAAATTTTAGCAAGGGAAATTTCACTAAGAGAGCCCTACCCCAGACTACTGAGTGCTGCGCTGGCGTTGCGTGCTTCACAAGCAGAAGCTTTGATGTTAAGAAAACATTCTCTCAGCTAAGATATGTCGGGAGACTGGACAGGTCTACTATCGGGACAGAAATGCTGCGCATGCAGATTATGTATGTCGAGAAAAATTTGCTGAAAATTGAAATGACCAACTGAGCTTCTATATAACACATTTTAGTCCAATTATTTGCATGTTAATGACTTGTTCATGTAAACAAAGACATTTCATTATTAAAACCGATTTTTATTGTTAAATATTGTCATTAATTTTTATATGTACACCTGAAAACCTGAATTACAAAAGTTTCCAGAAAAGAAAAAAGATTTCTCCCCTACTACGAGCTTGGAAAATACCCAATTTTTACCTCCCGATTTAAAAAGGTATATAAAACACAAGAACAAAGGGCCCTATGCATCAGTTGTTGAGTGTTGCCTTGGCGACTTCATAGGCGCATGGATGCCTAGTGAGTGGGTTCATTGCCCAACGAAGCCGCCTATCAACTTAACAAAAACAAAAACTGTCTGTGGTAGGCACTTTGTACATTCCAGAGTTGGCAAAATGTTCAAGTTTTTTGAGTGCCCTAAACCAATCCCCAGTCCTTCACTGGGGCACGAAGCTTTGAGTTTCACATTTCAGCCTCCACAATATGTATGCTTTGTGTCCTCTGGCATGATTCTTTACTCATTTCGGCAGTAATTATAGGTTTGCATTCTAGTAACACAACCATCTTCAAGGCTCATATCATACCTTTGAAAAAGCATGAGTCAACAAAATGAAAACGGGATTATGGGTGCTGGGGGCTTTGGTAAAGTGAAAGTGGAGCAAATTCTGGGTGAATGGTGTCGAAACAGTTGGAGTGCAACAGGGTTACCAGAACAAATGATGTCATAACTCCAGAAGAACATCTAGGGAGAAGGGGTGGCACTGAAAAGAGCACCAGCAAAGTCCTTTCATTTTTGCTTATAGTGCAGGCTTGCTTTTTGTTCTGTAGCTAAGAAAAGGAAATGCCAGGAAGTATGTGGCCACTGGGCAAGTTGCTACCTAGCTTGTAAACATAGGGGAACCTAAACTAGTTTGAACTTAATTAAGGCCGTGCAAATTGAGCAGTGACCGAGATTATTGATATAATCAAAGGATTCGGGCACTGAACCAGCTTGAATCATGCAAACACATCCGGCGATCCAGCAAAGGAAGAAAGCATTGATGAAAATTTTACGCCCAAAAGTAAAACCTGTCAAACGAACATTATCAGGTTGTCTCGACATGAGCCCTAGCTATATATTTGCTACTTTCCAGTTTATCTGGTGTTATATGACACTGGCAAAACAGAAAATATTATTTAAACCGCTATTTCATATAAAAAAGTGATGCAGAAAAAAAAAAATTGGGTTGTAAGGATATTTATACAGCGTGTAGATGGTCTGCCAAGGTGCAGAAGGTGAAGAGCATGTACCCTGTATGTCGCACATGTTTGTACAAGGCAATCGAAAGGAGGTATAATATGCTCCCTTCTTTACTTTTACCCTCACTCTTAGTTGCCATGGCTACCCTTGAAGTGCCACCTTCAGTGGTACTGACAAAGCTAAGCTACGGACATATGAGAAATTCTTGCATATTTTACAAAATTTATGCATCCCGATCCTCTGCTCCGTTTTGCTCAACCTGCCCTTGCTTGCGCTTCTGTTTGTATGCTGGGTGCCGCAATCATACTCGACTGTGTCACACGAAATGTGATAGGCAGGATCACTTAAACTTCGCTTTTTTTGTTGCTCTTTGCAGACGGCATTCCTTGGAAACCCCCGTAATGTGAGTGAATGTGCATCTTCACCCTTTGTTGTCCGCTGACCTAATGCTTGAATTGTTGTCTTGTTTTGTGTTGCTGCAAACATTCCCGGAACAGGGTGGGCTGACTGTTTTGGGTCCCTATGTTTAACTGCTGCTTTTGCTCGTCGGTTAACGGCATGCCAAGAGCACCTGAGCTCCTGTCAATATTCCGTGTCAAAATACTGGAGCTCTACATAAGTACTCTATTTTCTAGAGCTTGTGTGGCATGGCAGATTTGCAAAGTGTTGTGCAAAGATTTGGACTTGTTTGTATCATGCTATCAAGGAAGCTACATTTTTCTTTCACACTATGAAAATAAAGTTCCTGAAACTAGTTACTAGGGAACATTTTTTTTGTGAATGCAGCTAATGCTTGGTTCATAAACCTTGAATTCTTTAAAGCTAATTTCAGGGTCCTTCAGTTTATCTCACGAGAGATTTTTTTTTCTATCAGATTATATCTGTATGTCTGTATCTGGTGTTCAATGAATGTTGAATAACTGCATTCCAATACTGTTCAAATTTCTTTTATAGTAGATAGGTGCTGAAATTCTAAAGCTTACCAGCATCTAATCTTTTATTCCCAGTGCTGTCACATGATATTAGTTTGTAGGAGTGTGTTGAATAAACTCGAGTAATATTTAAGACTAATAAGCTCATCTGTTCAGTGCTTTTAGACATGCTAATACCTTCTCAAATGGATGTGACAAACTAAATGCCTAGTGAAAGTATATTGTAGGCATTCGGGAGCAGTTATATCCAACTTCGTCCCCATTTTGGATGTTTTGACAATGACAACCCTCCATTAATCGAACTGAAGGCTCATTTATAGTCCATCATTTTCGGCGAGTCAGTGTGCAGTGATCAATGTCGGACGTGTTACGTTGGCTAAGTCACATCAGTCAGAAATTTGACCCCGCTTAATCAAACTTGTTTGATGCCACACACTGCCATGCGCCGTCGGAGGACCACGCACAGAGTGTTCTGTGAAAAGCTCGCCGACCGTCGTCCATTTTATCGGGAGGGAGGGCATGTGATGCATCCTGGTCTGGCAGCCAGCGCAGAAACAGAACATGTTCTGCCTCTGCGTCGGCACGGTCATGGTGCGCCGAACACCACTTGTTGCGTCGGTTGTGTTGGATGCCAGATCGTGGAGAGCGGTTTTCGCCAACGCGATGTCGTTGGCGATGTCAAAGCATAAACGAGCGTTTAGCGACAGGATCTCGTGTGGAGCTCGTTCTGGGTGCATGGTTTTGGGCACAGGTGACAAGACTAGGATTGAATAGTTGATGGTTTGGCAGAGACTCATTGTGGCCGGCCCACCGCAGGAGATGCTCCTGAGACGAAACCTGACCGAAGAGATCCTGCCGAGCCCGACCTCGCCCCCCACCAGCGACGGTGGAGTGGGGCCCACGACCGACCCCTTCCTGGGAGGGGACTTCCATTCGCGCCAGGAGAGCGCCGACAGCGGCCTGGGCCTGGGGCCCAACTACTCGCTGCCCCACACCCCGGAGGACTTCCTCTCCAGCATGGATGACAGCATCGACGCTGGCCTCAACGACGGTGAGCTTCCTGCTCTCTTTCGTGGTGTGGTCGCTGTACAACCTTAGCAGCTTTTGCGCCGAGAAACACAGTCTATTCATTGATTCACCCTCTGCCCACAAATGGATTGCCAATCACTTCCAGAGACCCACTGGAAGTCTGTTTCTATGCTCTGCAGTAAAAGAAATGGTGTTAAAACTACTCGTTAGAATGTACTCATACTGTGCCTTGCTGTGAATAAGAGCGGAGACAAGGACTAGCAGACATAGTTGACCGGGAGTCCGTGGAGATGTTTGTTTCGAGTCTCATTTAGTTTGTTATTGTATCTTTTCTTGTTGTATTTTTCTCAATTTTGTCTGAATGTTTTTGCCTATGTTGTAATTTTTTCTGTATTTGTTATTTTTTTGCATTGTAAACCACCTGCAAGAATCTCCTCGTGAGATTGGCAGTGTTCCTAAATAATATTAAAAAACAAATAACGCAAATTCAGATGCACGCACCAAAAGTGCAAGGTCACGGAGCAGTGTCTGCACTTGTTCGGTTTAGCTTGCATGTGCATCTGCATGTGCACGAAAAAACGGCGAATGCCGCGACCTTGCACTTTTGATGCCGTTTGATTGGTGCCATTGGCTCGTAGCGTTGGCTGCATTCCAACTTTGGCTGAAATGAAATGGGGTCAACAGACTGCAGCTCATATTGTTAGATCATTGCAACTTCCTATTTGTTGTAGGAGTGATATCATTTGTGTTGATTTCCCTTCTCTAAAAAAGTTTTTACCGCTCTGCTCCTCGAAATGTCGCCTACCCTGTTTCTCTCATTATCTCTCCACAACGGGTGGGCGTTCTCTCAGAACTTTTCGGTTGGGCTGAGGCGCCCGTGAACCCACATAAGGGAAGCACTCCTTTAGGCTAGAGTAGCAGCTGGAGTAGAGCCACAAGTGGAGAGCCGGCAGTAGAATTATTAAGGTACCTTCGCCTGTACGGATTTCAGCCTCTGGACATTATTGCCGCTGCTGTTTGGATTGACGTGCCTCTTTTGTCCCGCAGACCCGAGCCATCAGAACAGTGAGTTGAGCTTAGACGGACTTCAGGGCACGGGCATTGACATGGGCACCGAGAACATGGACTCGGATGACCTGGTTCCTAGCTTACAGGTGAGAAAGACAATTTGATATGGTCTTATTCGGTAGCTCTGCCACATAATAACGCCTCCTTTATTTACAACCCTGCTTCTTGTTCCTTGAGTGTATGTTACAAAACTGTTTGCATGGATTTTGACTGCCTAAAATAGTAATATTTTGGAATGCTTTGAAATCGACCTTTTGGCTGGTGAAATGTCACAGAAAACATTGAGCTACTCCGACAAAGGTTTGAGACTCTAACCAAAGTTTTAATAAAAAGTGAAATCCTTGTATCCCTTTTTTTTTTTTAATCTATAATTTTTGTTAGAACTTCAAATCTTGGTCAACTTATCCCAAACCAGACAGGTCTCTGTCAAAGAGGTAAAGATGTTCACGTCTCAGTTGAGCTACCTTCATCCTGATTATTTCCGAGCCTTTTCTGCTGTCAGTCCCAGTCCTGGTCCTACATTCCAAAGATTTGTATTCCCTCGCTCGGCAGGAGGAACTTCAGGGGGACCTTCTCTCGGACATGGAGGCCTTGTTAACGTCCAGCAAGGACAGCGTCCTGACGTGGCTCTAAGGAGCTCGGGGCCCCTGCCCACTTTGCCAAGTCCTCCCTCCCTTCACCCCTCCCCCTTTTCCACGTTAGCCAGCTGGGACTGCGAGTGAAGTGCTCCATCGCAACAAGACGAGTGCGTAAGGTGAAGCTCGAACACCCTTCCCAACTACTCCACCCCAGCGTAAATGGCCACTACGCACCGCAACAAGAAGACGGGGAGCTGGCTCGGTAGGGCCACTTTCGTCGAAACGTATATACAAGGAAATAGAATGAGCTCCGACAGCTCTTTTTTTTAATGTGTAATGCAGCTAAGTTTTACATGTGCTGCGAGGAAAACAAACGAGCAGCAGACGTCCATGCCGTCCATCTTAACCAGAAGTATTGTCGGGCAGCGCAAGCGTGCTGCTATTTTTGCCGTAACTTGTGCCTTAATCTTTTAAACGACACTGGGCACGCCTAGATCAAGATTGTGCAACGTAAAAAGTGCCAGATTTTACAAGTGCTTTTTGTTTTTTTTGTGGTACCGTAGTTGTAAGGGAGAGGTGTTGGAGGGTGTTCTGCTAAACACTGTGCCTTGCATTTTGTAGAAAGAGTAAAAGTAAGATTTTAACTTGCTTTTATGCGCCCTGTTCTCGGTCATTGCGACGGCTCTACTGCCGTGAGCAAGTTGAGACATGGGGCTAATGAAGCAAACTGTTTTTCTTCCCACTCCTCTCTCTCTTCTTTGATAGGAGCAATATATTGATGTTGTTCCTCTTTTCTTGTGCAAATGTAACACTTTTTTTGCCATTGTTATTATTGTTCTTAATGCTGAGCAATAACAAAGTGCCTTAAACTGTTTGTCTCAATCTCTCCTGGGACATGTTCCCTTCTGTTATCTTGTTTTACTCCCCTCCCCCCCCCCCCCCCCCCCCCCCCTCAGCCCTCGTTTTTTTTTTCTTCTCTATTGTTTCATTTGAGTAGCTTGTATATTGAGTAGCTGCATGACTGATGCTATCAGTGTCCATTCCATCCACAAATAGCTCCTCTGCCTTGTGAAGCTGTCTGCTGACTGCAGTTGTGGGCCTTGTTGCCAGAACCTATGGTTACCACCCCAGCTTCAGTCTCAGAAACGAATGTCTGTGCGCAGTCTCAAGTTTATAATACGCAGATTGATTTTGCCCTCGAGACTACATATTATTAGGGTTTCGCCGCACAGAGCGACTCGTGCAGTTTGAGCGTTTCGGAACTACATTTTCCGATTTTGTTTTTATTTCTGTACCTTTTTACCTTTTTTTTTTTTTTTTTTTGTCTTGAGGCTCCTATATTCATTGTGCCTTTTAATATACTTTTTTTAGTACTTGTGGGTTTGATTTTGGAACTAAAAAAAAAAAAAAAGACAGTATGTTACTCTCATTTAGCTTTGTTGTCATTTTGCGTTTCTTAAAAAATGCAAGTGTATTTCTGCTGTCGCAGCCTCGTTCTAAGAGATGCTTGTCGGTGCTAACCATGGTTCTGCCAACAACAGAAGTAACTGCAGTATATCTCACTTGAACGATCCCTGCCTCGGTGGACAATGTTTGATAAATGGACTGTTTTGGAATCGCTCGCGGATTTTTATTCTCCGCTACAATTTACTGTTGTGAAATTTTCTTTTGGCCAACCATTTCCTGAGCCACACTGAAGTTCACTTAAGTGGGATTATACTGCAGCTATCTTCCATAACCGCATGTGAAGAGTGCAGGGGAAGAAAAAGAGATGAAGTGACTGTTTGTGTTTTTCATTCTACATCGGAGACGTGGGGACAGCTGAGAATTCAGGCTACCGTAAAACTCCCCACTGTGACCATCGTTCATCCAAAACATCGTAGAGAAAGTATTTTGTAACTGCTACATGGGAAAAAAGATTGTCTCATGCTTTTTGGCTTTCGTACGTATCACGTGAGGAATGCTCTCGAGTGCCAAACGTGTGTAAGGCAGATGCTATCTTCTCGGGCGTTTCTTTGTACACATCTCTTTCCTACTGTACAGATGTTGTTGTAGCTGCATTTACACAGCCATAGGTGTTTTGCTATGCAAAGAAGGTAATAAAAAGAAGAGTCAGTGCCTTAGGGATTCAGCGAGGATCCACGCAAAAAGACGTTTTTCAGAAAGTCTGGACTCCACTTTTTGTAATTGTCCGACGACGCCAAGACGGGTTTTTCTCGTTCTCGCTTCTTTTTTATTTTAATCGAACTCGGTTGATTGAATTTTTTTTTGGCAGCCTTCTTGGCTCACGCAATACCATTTCACCGTGTTTGTTTTCGGCCCTGAGGGTAACCAAGATGGTTACCCTCAGAGAAAGGTTTGACCCCAGTTTGCACGTGGCAGAAAACGTTTTTGTGTCGCGTGATTGCTACATTGCCCAAAACGCTTGTGCCCTGTTTTTGCTCCCACAATCATGCCTCGTGACTGCTTTTTGGAGAGCAAGCAGCCTCTAGCGTAGAAGCAGCAGCTGATTGCGCATCGCAAGAAAGGGACGAAGGATGGCCTGCTTGAACTTGCCGAAATTTATTCGTTTATGGTTGTGATAAGAGTACAAAACATGCCAATCGGGGTGTGGCGGGACTGCAAACCTGCCGGGTGCTGAGGAAAGGCAGACTTTCGGTGCACCCTTCTTGTTGACGCAGTATTTGCTAGGTGAACATGGTTTCCCCGTGAAAAAGTATGGCCATTCCTTCTTCCCTTTTACGAGATTTTTTTTTTTTTTTTGCATTGCGAGCTGCTTAGCTTGCGGTGCGAGACTGCCCTTCTTGTCACTCGGCACTTTGCACGCAACTTGCGAGCCACCCATTTTTTTTTTACCTTCCTCTGCAGGTGCCGACAAGAATTTGCAGTGCAGTCTCTTTCGCAGCTGTTAACGAAAGTTTGTTACCAATAAAACAAAAGTGTTGCATGATTTTGAATTTTGAGACGATACTACCCATGATGCCAGTGCAATTTTTTTCAATGGGGCAATACTATGCGAGATAAAAAAAAAAGCAATTACTTTTGGCTGTGCAAAATAAGGAAGTGAACGGCTAGCATTAATTGTTTTTGGATGGCAGACTGGTTCTGCACCTGCGTGCCCGTTGGTTTACCGCGAGAGAAACTTTTGTTGTGATATGCCTCCCTGTGTATGTATATTGTATGTGTATTTTAATTCTCACTGGTTTTGGGTAATGATTAATGAATTGCATTTTTTTTCCCTTGAAATCCCCTTTCAATCTGCCCAATATAGCTAATTTCTTTTACGTCCTGAAAGGAAATGTACATAAAGAGGGTTTACTTAATTTCTCGGATATTTGCCATTGTTTGTATTTTCTCTTGTGTTGGCTGTGAATCATGTAAATAAATGATTAATGTTTAAACCAGTTCATTACCTGTGCTTGTTTTCTGCATGAAAAGTAGCATTCACAGGACACCCAAAGACAACAGTTTATACTAGCGGAGGGAAATTACACGAGGTCACCTAAGACTGCTTACATGTAGGAATACGAACGCATTAGAGTCTGCGCGGTCGCCTCAGTCTATCGCACGAAACACACCAATGAGCACAGATAAGTCCAAAGCGGACATTTTGAACATGGTGCCCTGGTGGTGACATCACGCTCCCCCACTGCCCCAACCCAGTGTCCCCGCGGGCTTCACGGCTTCTGTGACGAGGCATCTGTGTTGCTGTGCTTTTCTTTGCGTCTTATTTCTGAGGCGCATTCGCTTTGACCTTGAGCGGCACGTGCTTGATGTATTTTTATGGCCATCTTTCGGACACAACGCCGATGCCATTTCGCGTTATGGGGCATACGAGGCTTTCACCTTAAGAAATGTTACTACTTCATATATTGTGATGTCAAAAAGCGATAGAAACCAGCAAGGCATGAAACCCGAAAATCAAATGGAAAGAAATTGAAAGCTGTGCGAGAACAGCTCCTCATTGACAAAAGTATATTTCCTTTAAAGCACTATTGCTTGTTAAATAGTGGGTACATATGGTTCCAGGATCCTTAAAGGGACACTGACAGGGTATTTATGCTCGCCGAGGTTTTTAGTTGTACGTGACATATGAGAGCTCAACTACCCAGAACAGAATTTGGGGCTCGAAATTCGGTTTCTTTCCGCCCGAAAACCGCCGACCAAGAACTGGCCGGTTCGAGTCTCGCTCACTCTCTTTTCCGCGGTCACGGGCCGTTTTCTAAGGTATCGATGCGACCACCAAATTTAATCAAAGTCTTGGGTAACTGAAGGCACACACTCGATATTAAAAATAGAAAAAAATATGAAACCCATTTTTTGTGGCTTCTAAAAAGCTGCAAATACGTTGATTGAAAAAAAGTTCCACAGACAACCGGAAGCAATCTGTGCGTGCTTCGCTTCGCGTATCGTGGGACTCGCAGGGACGGCGATGGCAGCGGACGACGGGCGTGGGACCTCTATTTCAGAACTGTCGTTCGCGGTACCGGCGAATTTTGTCTGCCTTTAAAAGAGAAATTTGGGACTGATCAAAAGAACTGGTATTCATCCCGTACGACACGCTCGATCACCAAGCCGATTTGCACGAAGATGTCGCCGAGCCGTCGCTCCCTTCTCGTGGCTGAAGACATCGCTCGCGCAAACGTCAAGCACGACGTGTCTACTTCGAGTTGAGTATGCACGCGTACGATTTCTTTACTACGTGAGAATGTCGCCAATGCGCGGTGCATCCCGACTTCGACCCGGGAGTGCTTTTGCTAAAGGAAAATTGGCAGCAAACATTCCAACTTAGTTTATCGGCTGAATTATTACTAAGGAAAGAGATTCTGCCGATTCGGTATGCCCCAGTAGCTCAGTGGGAAAGACGTCCGCTTCACACGCGGTAGGACCGGGTTCGATCCCCTGTTAAACCTTTTTTTTTTTTCTTTTTTTTAAATATTTTTTGATGTCTACATTTCTTTTTCTTTTTAAACAATTATCACTGAAGAAACAAAAACTAAGAAACAAATGTTGTGGACGACACGTCGCTGAATTAAATGATACGGGATTTCCTTTTTGACACCTGCGAACTCAATGTAATCACTTTCCACAAAATGCAAGGAGCATATAAATCAGGTAGCGTCCGCTTTCCAAGGTGCCCGTAAATGGTCTACAGGAATTGCAGCCAGCCATTGGTCCCGATCCCTTTGATCTTTCGGAAACTCTGTCGCACAATGCCACTTCTGTTTCGGACGCAGGGCATGTGAGCCAGCTCTTCACGCAACATCTTGGGTGTATTCTTTTTGGAGCCGATCAAAATTCACCACGGGCACTCACTACTCATCTCCAACTCCTCAATGTACAAAACAACTCATCTTGGAGTACAGAACAACGAGCGGAACATACATAACTGCAAAAGAATCGCTCGGTGAACAGTTCCGGTACGCCGCATGTCGTCTGCTACGGGAAGGAGAAAAAAAAAAAAAAAAAAAACGCACGGTCGGGTGTAGCCACGTGACTTCCGCTACTCACTCTCTTCTCTCCACTTCTCCGACCTCCGTCGGGTTTCGGTTTCGGTTTCGAACAGTTGCGTCTTTTGGCTTTATTAAAAAAAATACGCTACTCTGTTGCAAAATATTAATTGGGTAGTCCTCCGACACCATAATGAAGCGCCTGGCAAAAAATTAAAAAAATATTTTGGGGGGTGTCAGTGTCCCTTTAAGAAAAGGCTGAGCCTCTCAATGAAAACCACTTACTGACAATCTTTGGATTCTTTTCAAGAAAGTCTTGGTAGGAAGCCTGTTTAAATGGGAGCTCCGGCAAAATATTGACGGTCATTGATTTTTATAAAACTTTTACCATATTTACTAAATAAATATCCACCCATGGTTATGTCTACGAAATATTTAATCAAAATATTTATTTCCTTTTCCAAGAAATAAATTTTGAAGTTTACACGTAGACCCCTGGATCACTTGCTGCTGCTCTACTGGCAACAATGAACAGGCGCACTGGTGACGTCAAATGTATCCGAGCAGACAACGCTGTCTACTCCGCGGCGTTCTGCGTTGTAGTAATAGCGTCTGTTTTGCAAAATGCGTCTGGTTTAGGCTGTTTGCGGCGTGCGATGAAGGGGGCGGGTGGGTGGGGGGCACATTAACGCCACAAAGAAATGCAGCACAGTGACCTATTGGTTTCCGATCGAGAAGTCTCTTCGACGGAACTGGGTCCGAGCAGTCCAGCACGAACGCTGGCTCCCAGCGTTCATGTCGTTCCAAAAAACAGTTCACACCTTGTTAGCAAATGAAACCTTCCATGCCATTCTGCTTCAAAGCGGAGTTTGGGTCCAGATGTAGGCAGATCGCAAATGCAGCCCCTACCGTGGGGTCCAAGGGGACCCCACGGAAGGTCTCCTTGGAGGCAATGCCGGCGTATCAAATGCGAACGGCGAATCCTCCGAAATCTTGTGGTGAAAACCTTTGCTGGTCATTGCTCGACTAAGATAAGCTTGATGAGTCCTAGTCCAATATTTCCCACTGCTTCCGACGCTGGGCGAAACAGGCTCAAGATGGTGGACCAGTAAAGTTGCAGGCTTGGTTTCAGTTATATTGTATTTATATGAATAAAAATTATTTAAACATTTTTGGGGGAACGTACCTCCTGCTTTAGGTTCAGTGTTCAAATTGACTCCGAAGCTCTGCTTTAAAGGTGGTTGGAAAAAAATTTGAAGACGGAAACCGATCCGGAGCATTCAGACGTTAGTTCGCTATATTGTTGTTCGATGTCACTGTGGCGAGACATAAGTTCCTTTTCACTACGTATTAGGGGGTCTCATGCAAGTCCTTGGAATGCTCCGCTTCGGCATGCCCCCAGACAGATCATGACAATAAAATGTTAATTTTATCAAGAGGTTCATTTACGGGATAAGAATACTCGAGAATTAACCACTAACTCGTTTTCTTCAAGAATCTCTTCAGCTGCCTTTTAACTTTAGAACAGGTTTGCCCTCCCAATAAATAAAAAAATGAGCTTTCAATGAATGCTTGGCCACTAAACTAGGCAAGTGAACAGAATGCATATTTCAAATTCTTGATAGACACTCAGTCTTATAAAATACCTACACTTTTATTTCTTAGAATTTTTAGTGAAGAGAAGCTCAAAAACCACTGTACCTACTGTAATGCATTCCATATTTCAAGAAATGCATACAAGAAAAACAAAGTACAGAATCCAATGAAGACTAGAGGCTTACAATGCAGGCAAGAATGTTTAAACTTCAATAAACAGACAGTGAAACATGGTGCCATTGGTGAAACACGAATTATTATTGTTCTTTTTCACTGGCACTGGATAATTAGCACAGATGAGCGACAGTGACTATTTACACCTTTGGACAATTATTCACACGGTAGCACATGGTGCAGCGTATACAGAAGAGGCTTGTGGAGTGCACTGAACAGCACGTTTTTTTTGGTTTTACGCTTGGGCCGTCCACTGCATGCTGCACGGCCTACATTAGTACAACAAGTTCAAACATAGCCCCTTTTATAAATTCATGCACAATGCAAGCAGGAGGGCATGGCAGGAATTTATTCATCGTTGGGAGCGACCATTTTTCCCATGTGTTGCTACTCTGCCATGCACATAGCATTTACATGCAGCGGCAACCACTCGGAACAATGTACAATTAAAACTTGTGACAAACAAGCGGAAAACAACACATAGGCGAAATCTGGATTCTTCACAAATCTACAAGATGTTAAACAGCACAGCCTTGTTTGACATACGAATGTACAATTCCTTTTATAGGGGGGAATCTGGGCGTCATTCTATTGCTTTTCAAATAGGCCACAAAGAGACACTGCCGAGGCTTTAGTTGCCTGAATGTTGTAAATGCTTCAAATGCCAGACTTGGGACATCTGCAAAATATAAGACCGGTCTACAAAAGGGCAGCATTTAAACTACTGCTACTATAAAGAAAATGACACCTTGCTTTCAACTACTGTTCAATGCTCGTCATGCATAAAGTATCAAAGGTAAACCAAACACCTTGCCTAATGGTGACTGACACATTGTGCTGAAAACTTTAGGTGCAAACAAAATGCTGCGAGCAAGAACAATGTGTGCAAACAGACCACATCTTTTGTGTAGTTGTGCTAAGAAAGCAAAACGGGAGCCACACGGGTGACTCCACTACTCTGCCCAACATTTTTAGCGAGTCGAGAGATCGAGCAAGCTAATCACTGGAAGACATGGCATTCGAAACAATCTTTGTAGTCAGGACTGCCTGCAGTGTGAAAAAGCAAGCTTGCGTGACCCCGAAGAAGAATTTCGCAAGGTTTTTCAGTGGTTACGTGCTATTGGCCATTTCCTTAAAAAAAAGAAAAGACTGCATTCGATGGAATGGTAGAAAAAGCTTTCCTATTACACACTGTTCTCGTCGCACGTTTCCACCAGTCGCGTCAAAGAATATTCTTGCAAAGAAATACAATCAGTGGCACCGCCCCAGCTTGTAAGCTTATCAATCTTTGAAGTTGAAGGCACACATTTCTGCAGCACAGCGTGGCATTGAACCTTCGTGGTTATGGCATTTCAATCCCTAGTGGCACAAAGCTGTAGTTGCAGCAGTATTTGAGCTCGTAATGCAACCTCGGAAATGTTTTGGATGCAGTGCTGACCCACAAACCTGCAAGCGCTGCCACCTGCGTTTGACTCTGTTCGGAAGCTATAGATTTCGGCATAGTGAGATTCGTTGCCCTTAGTTACAGTAGTACTTTGAATGCGCTTACAATGGTCTGCAATGCAATCGTTGCACAGTAGGCAATGGCTGCTGCCTACATCTGGTAGTCCGCATTTGGAGTAGCGGAAAACACAGAAGGTGCAGCATTTCCTAATGCAGGCAGAAGCCAGTTTGACCTACTACATGCACATTCAGTGGAAGTACTGAAGACTCATCAGGACTTCCCTTAGAAACCTCTTCGATTATACTGCCTCGAATTGGTGGCATGTGGACTGTAATAAAATATGAAAATTTGTGAAAATGCTATGAAAGATGCAGGAGGAAGAAGCAGTAATGCTGAAAGCCTTCCCTTAGACAGAGGGCAGTGTCGGTTACGACATCGTGCCATAGTGATAGCACAAAGGTTTTAGCAGAGAATGGCCAAAAGGTATGTGCCATCATCTTAAGAAAGGCTTGCTTAATGATGTGGCTCTCTTCTGAATGTTCACAAGATGCATCGGAACATAGCTTAGCTCTATAAATAAAAGAGTTGCGATAAGTTCTTGGATATTACGTACAGTGACGGAAAAATCTGCTGCATCACAATTTTTCTATCCTGTTGCACTGGTGACTAGCAAACGATGCACCGATGCAGTCACTGCAGCCAGAGAAACTAGCACAAAGATCTGCCACAACCGGGAGGAGCAAATAAATCTCATTCTAAAAGAGTTACTTTAAAACATTTTGTTCACAAGCATGCAGCTCTTGTAGACCATCACCGGCATTGGTTCGTCTGACAACAAATGTGCAACAAATTCCTGAAATACCTCTTAACTGCAGAGGCAGCAGCGTAATTCTTGAAAAGGTCTGTTTTTGACATCCAATCTTGCAGCGAAATTTTGTTTCTAGTCTTATGCGTGTCCAAATCTGTCAAAGTCCACTAGTAATTCTTTTCAAAACATTCTAAAATATATGAAACAGTTGTTCTGTTTTCTCATGTACAGTGACTTCAGTAATACTTTCTCTGGAATGTTATATAGTCCAGCTGTCTTGCATGTTCAGGTTACTTAGCAACTACCAAGTTCCTGACAAGCCTCCTATGCAGTCTTTGGTAAATGTTGGCTTGCCAAAATATCTGTATGCCTGTAGCTCCACAGCACATTGCAACACTTTTTCAAGCTTGACGTATGTCCAAGCACACAAACCAAGGCTCTGTGGTCAGACGTTTCTGTTAGTAATCCAGTAAATTTTACCGTCACTGTATATTACTAAGTATTTTTGGCAGTACGGACAGGTTTATCAAACCATCACTCTACGTGCGATGTTACACTTTGTATTATGTTACAAACAGTTATACACAGCTGCCAGCAGACAGTACCTTAAATGCGCACATGACAGCTGTTAGAAGAATTATGTATGATACTGAAATAATGACACTTAACATTGGAAAGAAAAATAAAACCAGTTGACAGTGCCAATCAGAAAGGTTTGAATGATAAACTTGTAAGTTATTCAATTTCTGATTGAAACATAGGACAAATGCAGGACAACAAAGCTGGACTACAGGATGCAATTCATACCACAATTGAAGATAGGTATTTAGACAAAATGAACAAGACACCAGTCAGATGTCCTGTGTGCTGGTTAATTTACAATCGACATGTTGAAATTGGCATCTTGGTAGCCGCACTGCTCAGAAGACTTCAGCGTCACTCTTAAAGCTGCTGAAAGTTGTTGGCAGGTTTAGAGCAGCAGAGAGTTATTTCAGTCACTCAGCCTCTGCAATAGGCTCAATGCCTTTGGTGCCCTGCAAATGTGCAAGCTTCAACCGTCTAAAGGTGAAGTAGCACCAGAGGCAGAGAACTTGCACTGTGGGTGGAGCATTGCAAAGATGCACTCTATCATGCAGATCTCTTACTGACCATAATTACTCGACCGCTTACAGAAAGTACCTCCTCTTGTCTCGTGAAACTTCGACAAACAAACAAGCCACAATTTTCTCTAACACCAAAAGCAGGCTACATGGAGCAAACATTTCTCGAGCCATCAGTGGCCGTTGCATGTTTGGTCACAGAGTTGTACTCTTCACATTTGCTTCTCACTTCTCTGTTCTGTACACTATTTACAGCATCCGGGCAGCTTTGGGAAGAGGCCGTTCACATGCCCCCCTCGAGACTAGTGCTGCTCAAGTTGCTTGCCATGCTGATGCGGCTGATGGCGTGGTGAAGACCGCCATTACCAGAATCTGCAACCAGAGCAATCGCAGAGCATTAGTCTGAGCACTTCCGCTTGCATAGCTGCAAGCACTCGTATCAAAGTGCAGTAAAGCATCTTGAGTTGAACAACCTCGTAACCCTGATGCCTTTTTAAGTCGAATGTTCAAAGCATGCACCGTGAGTGCCTAAGTTGGGGAGGTTCCACTTGTTGCACTAGCAACATTATTAGTGAGAACTCCTAGATTTGAAGGCTGCTTTAAGCACATAATCTACCGCATATAATGAGCACCTTCCAAGGTTTCGACCTCTTGAATATGGCCAATACTGGACTCCAAGTTAATATACAACAGAGTTTTGCCGTATCGCTCAATGTACTATGTATGTCACATTTAATTTTCCAACATGCATGTATACCGGGTGTTTCAAAAAGAAATAATTTATAGGGTTTCTTTCACCGCAAAAATAAACTATGCATGGCCGAACACTCATTATCCAGCTGAAAGGTAGTGCTAGATGTCGGAACCAGATGTCAAAGTTTCAGCACAAACCAATATTTTATTCAAAAGTTATATGTGATTTTCTGAAATTTTCAATGAAAAAATGGGGCCCATTTTTGCCCGTTTTCAATTTCTGGCGCCATAGAGCACCATGTATTCGAGAGCTCCGTCGGCCACCATTTTCTAATTGACATTTTCAGAAAAAAATTTATAAACTTTGGCATCTGGTTTGGACCTCTAGCTCTACCTTCGGGCAGAGAATGAGCGTTCGCCGATGCATGGCTATATCTTTGCGGTCAAGAAAACACTAATTTTTGTTTCGGGGGAACCTTGTTTATCAATGTGCAATAAAGAGAGAAACTACCTTTAACCCTTTTAATGATAAATATGTACGGACCACAACCAGAGGCATAAGAACAAAATAGTACAACCTTTTCACTGGGAAGGGGGAATGGTGTGTGTTTTCTGCACAACTGCTCATACAGTTGAGGTACTGTAAGAGTCCCCTTTTTTTCTAGTTCACAATTTTCTCCTGCACAGCTGTGACGTTGCTGATGGCTTTTGTTGTGTTCTGGCAAAAAACCTCCACATTTCCTTTAGTACTTTGATCGGCTTGTCGGGCCGTTTGCCGAGTTACGGTGAACAAGAGAACAGGGGCTCCAAGTTGGACGGTCTGTGAGAAAGTCAACGAGATCGCCGGATTGGCCAGCACCGCGATTGACCTTGGCACTGGCCAATCGCAGTGCAGCGCCGGACAGTTGCGCCGCGATCGGCGATCTCGATGAGCGTCCGAGCCCCAAGATCGACCACCAGACTATGTCACCAAAGCCTGGAACGTGCAGGCGACTGCTCACCCTGGCTGCTGACCGAAGGTGAAGAGCGGGAGCCCCCTTGCCTTGGTCCCAGGTAGGCGGCGGGCACCCAGCCCTCGCGGCCGCTGGGGCCGGCACGCACGTACCACCATCCCGCGCAGCCCACCCGCAGGACCTGCACGGGCTGACCCTCCATCAGAGACGCCTCCCCTACGTCCACTGCTTCGTAGTCCCCCAGGGCCACGTAGCTGCCACCAACCTGGATGCACGAAGACGGGGTGTTGGGAAGAGGTTTGACAGCAGACGGGTTTAAACGGGCATCGGCACAATCTCTCTGCTTTTTCGCGATAACAAATATTATATTGAGAAAGTAAATAAGCCTAAGTGGTATAGATTAGTCGCTTGAATGTTATTCCAAAACGTTGTTTCTTTATTTCCAGATGTCCTTTTCTTAAAGATTATTTTCTCTATGCAGAGCGCAAGTTTGTCTGCTGCTTGCACAGGGTGGTTGCACCGATGCCAGAATGCCAAGCTCTTATTGGCTGTTTGATCAAAATAGTGAGCAGACATTAAGGCATCTAGCATTGAGGACTACCCACTATCCTTTCAATCAAAGCTAATCAGAGCTTGGCGTCGTTCTGACGTCACCGCAACTCCTGCGCAAGAAGCAGATGACTTGCTATCCGCATTAGCAAAAACACCCTGTATATATACTAATACTGAATTATTAGGTTGGGACAGTTGGATAAGCATTATGAACAATAAATAGCACAAAGGACCGACAAGGACAACTTCAAAAATATGACTATACTTATATCAGCTTAAGTTCAGACACAGCCTCCGCTACAAGCTAATGGGACCAATCAAGCAGCAGCAAAAGCGCAAGTCATTACCACCTTCATCCCTACGTCGTAAAATTTCTCGTCTTTCCCTATTCTATAAAATCTATCACCATAATTCTTTCCTGCGCGACAAAATAATTGCTCGGCCTGTCTATGTTCCCTCCCGTCTTGATCATCAACATAAGGTGGGCATTCCTAACTCTACCACAACCACGTTTTATTCAACTTTCGTTCCTCGTAGATCCCAGGAGTGGAACCACCTTCCCCGGTCGATCTCCATTATCACGGACTCTGAGCTCTTTAAAAGTACAATAACTAATTACTTTATTACTGAGTGTGTCTAAATATGTATTATGTTATTTGCGTTAACCTTCTTGTTGCTCTCCCCCTCTGTAATGCCTTCGGGCCCTGAGGGTATAATAAATGAAATGAAATGAAGTCACTGGGCCTTCTCTGTTTATGATTTGTTCAGCGATGATAAAATACCCACGACTAACGACATGATGGTGCGCTTTTGACGCTATTTGATTGGTCCCATCAGCTGTAACGTCAACTGCATCTGGAGCCGTATATAGAGAGAGTTTGGTCGAAGGGAGGAGAGGGCAGAACCAAGGCGTGCACGAGATGCAGATAGAAGGCTTGACGTGCTCTCTTGGCCAACCAGAAGCCGGAAATAATCCCCTAGCGGTGGCAGTGAGAAACACTTTTAACAAGTGCATAAAAGCTAAATGAAGTAACTCTACATGGTTGAAAATATAGCGCACGTGATGTTTCGATTATTATCATGCAAAAAGATGTAAGAATCGAATGTGCCGTTCAAACTTTGATTTGCTCTGTCGGAGTCGGACCGCTGAATGGCATTTTCCCGGCCCTCGGCGCCTGGTGTACAGATCACGTCGACCATTCTCCTAGATTTTGATTTTGCATGACCGTGGCCGAAAAATCATATGCACCGTATTTTCAGTTATCAAGAGTTACTCTGACGCACTTATTAATTTTGTTTCTCGCAACCACCGCCAGGGCATTAATTTTGTTTCTCGCAACCACCGGCAGGGTATTATTTGCAACTTCTGGCTGGCCACATTAAAATCTGTGAAGATGCCCTGGAATACACCCAGCCCGCTATCGGCCAATGGCGCCTCCTCGTTTGCCTCCTATACTTTCCAACGAATGACCAAACTCTCTCTATATACAGCTCTGTATAGCGCTAGTCCCGTCTATGATGATGATTGCAAGTTTTGCAACACAGGGGCAGTTAAGGCCATAGTGTGCCAAACGCAAGTTTTTCAAGAACCATTAATGGTATCTGAGAAGTAAAATTACAGCTGGTGTGGACCGCCAACTTTGTTTAAAAAGTCACAGACATGCTGGAAAGGTACTAAAGATTGGTCACCAAGTAAGAAGTATGGATGGAATGGAAGGGAATATCTAAAAAGTACTGCGAAGCAGGATCGGTGCTGAGCATTTAGACCTCTGCACAGCCATAATATATGCAGGATAGTTAACACTTTCCCACAGTTCTCACAAAGTTTCACATCTTCACCACAGAGCAAGTACAAATGAGTCAGATGAGAGTGTTCAATTCGTAAGCGACACAGGATGTCCTCAAAACGGTGTTGTCTATGGGAAGAACTCTCCCACACGCCCAACACAGGCTTTTTGCCATGAAACTTGTTGTCAGTTTGTGTTCCAGTCCAACTGCCAGGAGTTAGTAATTGACTTTTTAAAAATTGATCATAGTTAATGATTGAAGACGAGCGTGTTGGTGAACAGATATGAATACATGAAAGGATAAAACATCGAGGACTGGCACGGAAACAGGACTTCTTTGGGCACTGTGCCCTATGCATCCATACTGTATTTCTTCTCACATTCTCTCATGTGCCCTATGCCCTGTTTCCGTCCCCGTCATCGGATGTTTTATCCTTTCATGTATTCATATCTATCCAAATTTTATTGTCAGAATTATTAGACTCCCCTCTAATCTGACGAAGAAACAAACAGAATAGCAAGAGACGGCAAGACAAATATAGACTGTCACGCTGTTTACAAACAAGCCTGCGAGCCTGAAAAAATTTTGGCTCCACCACTGATGACTTGTACCACCTCGGAACTGATATGCCTAAATATCCACTTTTCAGATATACGACTCTCATTCAAATCGACGATCGTGAGCCGTTTGTACTGACCGCTCGATGAGTCCCCGCCTACCTCAGAGGTGACAAAGATGTCTGTGTCGTCGTCCTCTTCGTCGGTCTGCGACAGGTCGTCCGTAGACCACCCGTCTTCCTGGTCCGACTCGCCCCCGTAGCTCCGCAGGGCAGGGAAGGTAGCCCTCCGCCCCAGCATGCGGGCCATCCGCTTGCGACCGTTGTTGTTGTCCGCCATGCGGTGGCTTTCCCAGCTCATCCCGCTGATCGTGTGTCGAACCCTGCGAGCGCATTTCGTTTGACTTCATTAGCTATGCAGCCTATGCAGGGACTGTGTTGTAGTTATTGATAGGATGATGACAGCAGGGCAGCTTTTTCGGTTGCCTGGCCTCCAGCATGCGCTCGTTGCCCTCCAGCGTGCTTTGGCTACGTGTGCCTGTTCGAGGCTCACGAAATGCCGAAGCATTATCGAAGGTGCAGAAACTCGTGCTGGAGGCAGGACAACTGGAAGACATCAGTGCCATTTTCATCCTCTCAGTTACCCTATGGGCGTGCAAATCAGCCAATGGTAAGAATGCTCTATGCATAGAATATACCTGCTATACCATTTCAACATTAAGTGCGAGCAAAGACAAAGCTACGTCCTCAAGCCCCGCATTATTATTGTGTTTTTTTTTTTTTTATCAGTTGTGGATATGCATTTGTGCAGTGAGAGAGAAAAAAATATAATTGCAATCCACAAAATGTTTGGTTTAATGTGAATTAGATTACCCATAGTGCAAGTTAAGGTAAAAATTACTTGCAGAAAATGCAATTCTAGAGAAAAACAATAATGGCTCAAAAGAGCAAAATTCAGTTTTTGTCATGAATAATTTAGCTTTTTCAGATTTTGAGTACCTTAACTTGTTCCTCATGAAATTTCAGTCTAGAACACCACTGAATGAAATGTTTACACTTTCAAAATATCGAATGATACATTTCCTCATACCACATTTCCTGGCAAAAAGTGAAACTGAAAAAAATGTGTTTAAAGTTCTGAGTCCGAGTTAGGCAAAATTCACCTGGAGCATTGCATGCACCTTCCTCTTTGAGACTTTGCTGTTCCCCTGGCAATAGCTACCAGTTCGTGTCGTTTGTAGGCAAGCTGACTCTTGTAGCAGGCATTCTTTGACAGATAAACTGGCAAGAACTAAGAAGCAAATCATACTAAGGAAGAGCAGCAAAGCAGGAATATGATCTGAAGTGGAAGATACTATGAAAGTGTGTTACTGAAGATGGCACAATATCATATCACCGGGCAGGACCAATCGTAAACCGTTTCGAGTTTCAAGCAATAAGATTGCTCATACAAAATTTTCACTACTTTTTCTGTTTGGATGGGATTCTTCTGGCCATTGATACTTCTAAACTTGGAAAACTTCTACGGGCTAAATCTAGAGTAAATGGCGCTTCCAATGAGTGTGAGGTGTTCTGGCTATGTTAGACGAGAATGAAGCAGCGCTAAATAAAAAACGCAAAAAACTTGCTCCTGCTGACTTGGAACATGTCGAAAATAATTTATCGTGAGATAAATCCTGCATGTTTATAAATTAAAGTTTCTGAAACCATTCTTTGGAAGTAATTAAACATATATACATTAAAAAAAAAAGTAATTTGAATTTTGAGTTAGGGTAGGTTATTCCGCCAAAAAAAAGTTCAGTTTCAAAAAAAAAAGTTTTAGGGGAAATTAAAGTAGCATGTCTGTAACATATCTAGACGCAAATATTCTCAAGGTACATTTTTTCGCGCTGTCGTCCTGTATGACGGCGCAAAAATTTATCTCTTCATTTTCCCTTTCTAAGGGGAATGGCTTTCCACTATCTAAATAAATATAACTTCTATTAGTAAGTGCAAACAATTAGCGGCACATTATAGATTCTTGGAAAAGACTCACCTAGGCGACTGAGGTTTGACACCGTTCAGCTGCTCATACTTTTCATAATGCTGGCGTTTGCTTTCGTCTAGACGTACAAGAGAAGACGAGCTTAGTCAGGAAGCAATAAAAAAATTGAACAAAAAGTGTTACCTTTCAAAAGTTCGAATTGTTGTAGTAGGACTTGCTTGATGTGCTTTACCCACAAATCTTTCGACTCAATGGATGGTGCCTATGAGAGAATGTGAGAAGAAACACAATATAAGTGCATAGGGCATTAAATATGTAGTACTATATAAAAAGAGTAAAAATATCATTTTGAAGCCACTTCATTTAGAGCACGAAAGTGTTTAACCTGGATTATGAAGACTTGCGTCCTTCCGTGAAGCCACACTTCAAACTTCTTCTTGTCACCTCTTGAACCTTTGAAGTTCTCTGTCAGTCCAATCTGTGATGTCTGCAGGAAGGAATAAACATTGAGGCTTTTCTTTAGATTTTTCCCAAAAACACTGAATTCACAAATTTTTTTTTAATGTGTTTTGGATAATATATGTGTGTTACAAAATAAACTTTTCACCCTAAAAAAAGTTTAGTGAAATATTTACATTGTGAGACATATTTTGAATTAGCAGCAATTTTCAAACATGTTTCTTATTTCAAGACGTCAATGCCGAAATAGAAGCCAGATTTGAAATCGCTTGATCGGTACTTTACGGTACCGATCTCGACAGTGCCAACTGTCGAGAAAAAGAGAACGCACATACGTGCAACGTTTCACTTGTAGTGGTTGCTGTGTAAAAGAAACAGAATGTCGTCAACATGGACGGATTCAAACGAGTTCACCTCTCTTAAATTAATACCCGCTAATGAGAATTCCCTTTTGATGAGCAATCCCGCAACAAGCCGAAGAAAAGAAGGAAGACGACGGGGTGGGGCACGCGAGGAGCGCGAGAGAAGATTGGGGCGGTTGAAAAAGGACGGAGCAGACACAACCAGGCCGGACCTCCGCCTGCGTGACTAGTCGTCAAGAGGCCCGATTCACAGCCCGCTTCTCACGCAGTCCGGGCACCAACCGTCCAAAGGTAGACAAGATTGCATGCGCGGCGCAGTTGAATACCTGCTGCCACTCCGTGCCTCAGACGTACTGGGCCTGATTCAAGCCTTCGGCCAACGCTCAACTACCCTGTCTCTACGTCCCTCATCCCTGACCTCGGTAGACACATGGACATCGGCTGCCACCGACGTACTGGGCCTGATTCAAGCCTACGGCCAACGCTTAACTTCCTTGTCTCTACGTCCCTCGGCCCTGACCTTGGTGGATGCCTGGTCATCGGCCGCCACCGACGTACTGGGCCTGATTCAAGCCTGCGGCCAAGGCTCAACTACCTCGTCACCAAGTTCCTCGGCCCTGACGTCGGTAGACCCCTGGTCATCGGCTGCCACGGGTGCTACGCCGCCAGGACTCAAAAAGCGTGAGCAAGGGACATTTTAGGGGACACTCTAACTATTTGTTGAAGTGATGTAAATAATTTTGTAAATATTCTTTTTCCATTTTTCTACAGTGCAATGTGACTGATCCCATAACGCATCCTCGTGTCTTCTGTCATTTCTTTCTAAAATCATACCCAGGAACCTTATGACGCTTTCTCCGTTGGTGCACTTGATACTGGGGTGGTATGCACGAACTGTGCTACAAAAATGAGGTGCACAAACTCGTGCTGGCTCAAGTTCCACCACTCCAGAGCAACAATTGCAGTCTCTTCAATCTACCTGTAGATGATGAAGCCACTTGCAGGCTTCTACTTTGTTGCGGCTTGTACGTTTTAAGTTTTCTTGGCCCAAAGAATGTTTTTCGCTCTTTCCCTGCCAAACAAGAACAGACTTTCTTGGGACGACTGATGCTCCTGCATTCTTTACTTTTTCTAGGGATAGCATTTTGGCAAGATAGAACGTTCTAAAGTGATCTTTGGTGAGAATCAAATCATTCTTGATGTAAAGAACAATTTTCTCCTTGATGGGCACCTTTTATCTAAGAGAGTAGTTTCTACCCTCAATACATTCGACGATGTACTCATAGTATAACTCACTTATTCACCCTACGCTGTGCAGTCGCACATGTTTATGGGCCGCCTCGGCAAAAATGTAGATCCGGACCTGCGGATATCCGTATCCGAACCCCGTCCGCAGCCCGTGGCGTCCGCATCCCATCCGCAATCCGCCAAATGTGATTTATTTCTATCCGCATCCGCCAGTTTACTGTGGATATCCACGGATGACCCGCGGGTAATCTGCGGATATGCAGGGCTCTAATACAAGTAATCCAAATAATGTGCTACACAAACAAAAGCATAAAAGGTTAATTCTTTAGCTATTTATTTGAGAGCATTCCCTGCCAGAGAAAGCACTTTGACAAGGCAAGTTGACAGGAGGGAGTAACTCACCTTTAGAGCATTCTTAAATGCATAGCTGGGGTTGTCGTCTCTACCATACTTTTTGGTGAAGAGAACCAGGTGCTCGTAAAGGAAAATGTAACGCTGGCTGGGCTTAAACCGCAGCTCCTTCATGCGTTCCTTCTTTTTCTTCTCTATCCAGACGTTGAACATCCCTTGCAGCAGCAACTTCCCATAGTCTGCCAAGCTGCCCTGCATAAGCGGACAGGAGCGCTAATTACTTTGCATACAATACATTTAATTACTGTTTGTCATATACTAATTTTGGTGATATGCAGTTTGTCTGTCTAAAGACCAAAGTGCACATGCATTTGATACAACCATATTCCAACTGTAGAAATGCTTTTTACAACAATGTCTTTTTTTTAAATTTCCGCTAGCTATAAACTGAGGTCAAATGTGTTTGGTTTATTGGGCCAGACTTCATGAAAATATGATGAAACAGATTACCACAAAAAAATCATGAGCATATCTACCTTTGCTTTAGGCAGACGTATAATCATGTCAGTCATATCTTCATAATCTAAACACCGAGACAAGAAAAACAGGACAATAACATGACCCAATTTTATTTTCCTCGTTTTAGGGTTTGGCTTGTGATGTTTCCTAACCGGCTCAGCTGTATATACTTTCTCTTACAAATTGTGTCTTTCTTCATTCCACCTAGAAATTACTACTGATCGCATTGAAATAGAAAAAAATTTGTAGGCAGATTTCTTTATTGTGACAGACGGATGTTTCGGCATCTGTCACCATCAAGATTGCAATTTGTTTCGTGGCTCATGCCTCGAACCAACAGCACCGAGTGCACCATACACCGCGCCTTTGTCTTCGTGCAGGTTCACTACAAGCCACTGGAAATAAGAAGCATTTGCATGTTTTTGTTTTGTCCCAAATCGTTATCCCATCCCTGAATTGCAGTGTCAAAATAAATTGTGAGTTCACACTTAAGTAAATTCACACTTAAAAACACTTACATGAAAACCCGTGATGGAAACCTGGTGCATACTGTCGTTGACATGTTTCAACACATCGAGCATAGTTCTGACCGCCTCCTGCAGCTCGTATTGCTCCCCAGAACCTTCGGAGTACTTCAACAGATCCTGAAGCGAAAATGATGGACACTGAGCATGATGTCAGAAAGGGGAAAATATATAGTATTATAATACTAATGGCGATCGAAAACTCGTACGAATCGTTACGCTCACGCTCTTCAATAGCTTGCATCTCGAAAAAAACGTCGCAGGCAGCCGAGTTATTTGTTTACATTTTCATTTCTTCTGTAGCCACTGCTCTTTGGAAAGCTGTCCATTCCTCATATCTCTAAACTTGCACTACGAAGGAGACAAAAAGAAACACCATAAAAAGTGCCTGCCTGTGATGTGTGTATCCCTTTGTCACTGTTTTAGAGCGCAGCTCTTACCCCCCATTCACACTGGAAGCGGATCCGCGTTCGCGAAGCGGTTGCGAAAGCGGTTGTATAAAGATCCAGTGCAATTGCACGCGCATTTGATGTCATCGTGTGCGCGTGCAATTGTACTGAATCCTTATACAACCGCGTTCGCAACCGCTTTGCGAACGCGGATCCGCTTCCAGTGTGAATGAGCCCTTAGGCGCCAATTTCCGGCTTGAGCGGCGTCGGCGTCGCCTTCGCCGTCGGCGTAATTGTGTGGTGCGTTATGGGAAATGTCCCATAATGCACTGCGCGGGACCCTCGTGACATTATGGGAAATTTCCCATGATGCAACGCGCAGGGAGGAGGAGCAGCGGGAGAAGGACGAGGGGGAGGTGAGGAGGGGGAAGGAGGAGGGGAGGAGGAGTAGGTGAGGAGCAGGGGTAGACCCTCTTCCTCATTACCCTTACCTCCTCCTCCTCAAGAGCTGCACTCCAATTCGGCGTTAGAGGGTGTTGTAAAAGTCTCAATTTTTTCGCACACTTTCAAATACATGACCAACTACCAATTGAGAATATGTTTGATGTGAGGGATTATACAGAAGGCAAGCCCTGCAACTTTGGTGCAAAAATTACAATTACATAGTGAGTAGGAAGGAAATTTTTACACATTTTTTACTGTCACCCAGGCTAAGATTCACAGTCTATAGTGCTGGTCATAGAATCGCTCAAACTTCCAGAACTACATGTCTCCAAACCGTAACTTCATACTCTACTTCATACTACATTAATCACATTCACACGCACTTATGGTCATCAGTTTGTTTGTAGACGACTGCATAATTTACAGGCCCACTCTCTCGCCCGACGATCACCATACCTTGCAAAACAGATATTAAACAAATTATTCAATGGCACAGTAAATGGCAGACGACCCTGAATTTTAACAAATGCAAATTCTTTTTGTTTTCTTGTTGTGGTCTTCTTCGACCTTTCTCTTACAATCTTGATATCTCCCCCACTGATCTCCACTAGAGGGGGCTGGATGGCGCATTGAGCAAACAGGTATGAAGCCACCGGAAGTGAGCGGCTTGTCCGGGAAGTGAGCGCTTGGCAGGCTTTGTAACCCTTCCGAGTAATTGTTCGAAAAGCGTCGAGGGTGCTGGATTTTCGCTTGTTCCCTCAAGAGAGCCTGCTTGTTGCGCAGTAAGAGCGCATGGGAACCCGAGAAGTATCATGGGAAACCATTCAATGTAATCATTTTGGGATTCTAGTTGACTAAGTTGTGAATATGTCCCAAGTTCAAATGCCTCATTTTCGGGATTTAATCCAGAACGGGAGTATTAAAACCCAATCAAATACACAAAAAAACGTGGTCCAAAATATCGACTGAATGCACTAGGAAGCCCAGCGCACGCACTACTTCCGGGACAAGCATCGAACTTCCGGTGGCTTCACTTGCGCCAGGCTCGGAGAGCAGCTAAGCGCCATCCAGCCCCCTATAGTAGAGATCAGTGATCTCCCCTGTCACCGTTTGCAGTTCATATAAATATCTCGGCATTCATTTAGCGCCTGACAATAATACAGTAGCAACACCAGAGATAAAACAACTAGCAATGCATACTCAACTTCAGTTCGGTCTAAGCTTGAATTCGCTTCTTCTGTATGGTGCCCTTGGCAATCTTATCTAGTTATAAAACTTGAATTCATTCAAAACGGAGCTCTGCACTTTATTTTTTCTGATTACTCACCATTCACAAGCATATCTGGATTGCACGAAACTGCTAACCCTCGCACACTTTCATTAGGCGCCAAGTGTCCTGTCTCTCTCTCCTTCACCCAATCTATCACCATAACATGCCTTTTTGTGAATCGCTGCTTTTTACCGGCCCCGTGGTAGATTTTCCCCTGCTTTGACCACTCCTGTAAGTTGCCACCCATGTTTTCGTCAGCTAATTCATACAGTATTTCAACTTTACCCTTCACCATCAACGACTGGAACATACTACCAAACGACATTGTTATCATAGCTGACACATATAAATTTTCTGCCTCTGTAACCACTTTCATTTCTGCTTTATCGGACTAATTTTTTCTACTGCGATAAAAATGCGTGCGAAAATGTTCGCTTGAAAAAAAAAAAATTACCGCTCCCTTGAGTAAAGTTTGTAAGTGCCTTAAAGGATAATAAATGATGATAAACCATGGCACTCGCATTCGTCAAGCTTCACCGCTTCGCGCTCGTGCTCTCGCATGAAGCTTCACTGCTTCGCTCCGGTGTGCTCGGAGAAGCGGTCTGAGCGGGGGAGCACCTCGGTTGGTTAGATGGGGTCGGAAATTTTGCTCACTACATTATAAATCGACGTTCTTTGGCTGCAAAGATAGGTCGAGACTTCATTTTAAACAAGTTCAACGAAAGAAATGTCACCCTGTATTTGAAGAAACATAGCTCTGCATCATAGAAGCAAACATTGTGTGCAGTTTTCCTAGAACATTTTTGTTTTATGTGTATCATATGCACATATCAACAAGTGCAGAAAGTATCTGCTGTGCTGCCCTTGTTTTTAAAGACTTCTCCAGCTCCATTTGTGTTATGTCTGTACCTTCCTCACAAGTTGCAACCAGTCTTTTTAAAGCCTTTATAAAGTTTTGTTCTCACCTTGAGTAGCAGTTGGTACTTGGTGATCCTCTGTACAGGCTTGAGCAGGTATGCATCCAAGGGAAGCTTGTGGTTCAGTTTTCTTTGGCATTCCTATACAAGACCAAAAGCAATGAAAACGGAGCAACAAAAAAGTGATTAGTCATTATAAAATTATGTAATCAAATAGCATTTAGTAACATGTTTAGGGGTACTTTGGCGTTTTCTTCATGGTCACCAATTTGCCTGAAAACTTGCTAAACACACTAACAAACATAGCTGGGATGGTATCCCAAATATTAGGACAAAATAATATATTTTTTTTTGCAATAAATTTACAATTTATGTCCTCATTGTGTTTTTCAAACTAAAAGTTTCTACTGGTAACAATGAAAAAGTAACGCCAGCGGTAGGCAGGGTTGACTATTTGAACTGTAAAATTTGTTCCCAACTGATTACAAGCAGTTTCATGGCATCAAATGAATGTTGGAAGCTCGCTCCAGCATCCCGCGCAGCAGTAGTTTTATTACTGCCTGCTCGACTGGCAAGCCTGACTGCCACTGACATCACGGCACTGAAAATCGCGGTTATATTTGAATACTGAAGAATAAAAAACAATTTGAACAAGACAAAGGACAAGAGCGCAGATGTAGACAAACAGACCGCTGTCTGTGTGCATCTCCTCCTTCGTCTTGTCCACGCTGCTTTTAATTCTTCCATATGCAAAACCAACTCGCCCAAGTCTTCACCCTACTATATTTGAATATTGATTTTGGCATCATTTTCATTTGCCGATTTTGCAATAGGTATTCTTAATTTCGCGATACTAAATAGCATACTGGAAAGGGTAAAGGCCGGCAATTCCAAAAATCTAGTTAGTTGGGGTAGCTAAAGAAATCGCCGGAGTACCCCTTTAATTAACTGTTCTTTAAAAAAGGATGCTCAAATTTGTTAAAGCATATACAATGACACAGTAGTCAAAATACAAAAATGAATTTTCTTTGGCTTTTCTAGAGAAGCCCAATGCATTACATTTGCTTCATCTGTTTTGGGGACTTGGTAGTCATTTGCAATAGTGAACACAGCCGGCTCATGATTCTTCGGTTTGATAGCAGAAGCATCTGTTAGTGAGTAGAGCGTAAATGAACTTCATATCACATGTGTATTTTTATAATTCAGATTCAGAATTGAGCAACCACAATATCTCTCTGGCAATGACACAAACTGCGAAATGCTGCAATATTCATACACCAACCTTGTAAGATGATATCTCACTTGACAAACATTTCAAAGCATGCAAGGCTATGTAAGTTCTTTTTCAAAGCCATTGTGACCCCACCTTGAAAAAGGCATTATCGCTGGCACATTGAAGCCTCAGGGCTTCGGACTTTGGTTTGTTCATGCAGTATGCACTGTACAATTTGTGGAAGCTTTCTTTCTGCAATGAAAAAAATTATGATAATCAAAAACTGGGCACTCACAAGTATCTGCCCTGCTTCTTTTTCACCTCTTCACCTTTCTGCACCGTGCCTCATGCCTTTTTGCCCAAGCAGGGACAAGCTGGACGACCTCAAACTACATATGCTTGAAAAGTGATCCAGGCTTTTGCAATAACCCATTCATCGTTTTAGTACCCACCATTCTGCACACTTCATTGCACACTGTGTGTGGCATGCATCGGTGTGCTAAAAACGGCGGCTGATGTTATGGAGCGTCTGGGTTAGTTTGATGGGCTCGTAAATATTGCTCACTCTTATAGGTCAATATTCTTTAATTACAGTAACAAATAGATGCAAAAGTTTAAACAACACATTAAAAAAGAAAAATATAGAGCTGCATTTGACTAGTAAATAGGGTGGTTCTCAACAGCCCTGGAAGTCCACATAAAATAAATTGTTGCGTAAACGTTGCTTCTCGTCTCTTTTATAGGTCCTTCAAAGTGCTAACGACTGTTAACATTTCCCCGGATCATCACGGTCCTTAGGAAAACATATCAACGGGGTTTTATGATGTATAACTATAAATATCAAAGTTAACACCTTTGTTTTGGGTTCTGGTGCCCTGGAATGTCCTAGTGACAATAACACTGTCCCAGAGAAAAGTGACCTTTAGAAGAAAATATTATTTAAGAACTAAACAACAGAAAACAACACGAGGGAGGAAATGTTAATGCACCACAGCAATGACCATGAGAACACAGCATTAGACTCAACTGCTCGGAGATAATTCGGTTCACGAGTAGCAACAGCATGAGACGCTTAACAAGTAAAAATGATTCTTTTATTTGTCACAACTTATAGAGTGAAAGGTAATCAAAATGCACTATATTGAATGATAATCTGACAAGATTGCTTCCCCTTATGACCGAATATTAAGGAAGTAATGGCCACGTTTTGTGCCACAATCTGTCTAGCATTCCAGAAAGGCTGTGTCTAGTGGAGGGTGTAAGATAGACAGGTGGGGCTACGGCCCATAGAAGCCTAACGCAGTGCCGTGACCGGAATGTGTACTCGTCTGCTTGCGGGTACCCCCGATTTGCGACAGATGGAGCTGCAGCGAGAGGAAAAAAATTGGAATCGGATTTGCATGGAACTCTATGGGAGAGTGCGCAAAATAAACCGAGAGCACGACAGCCCTCCATCGAAAATCCACGAGAAACCATCTCCGTCAGTTTAGCAGGTCGCCACCGGTCGCCCACCCGGAGTGAGAGTTTGCGGTGCTCCACATAGATGGCACCACAGAAAAAGAGAAAACCGAGGGGGACATAATCTGGTCGCTCATTTGGCTCTCGTTTCCCCACCTGTCTATCTTACACCCTGGTCTAGTGACTGTACTGCATACGTTATGCTTTTTACAACACCTACTGGTTGTTCAGAAAGGTGACTTACTCGTTGGACAAAACATGCTCCCACTAGCTCAGGAGTGCTGCGGCAGTTTTGGAGGTCCTCTAGGAAGACACTGGAAGATAGTTGAAGGACTCAATTGTGCTTTAGACATGATCTATTCAGTCAAGCACAAAAATAAAATACTTCACGGCTAACGTAAAAAGTAATTCTTAAAACCAATCGGAACTGGAAAATGGCTCTAAATTTGTATAGCAGTTTAAATTCTTGCTAGATAAAAAAAACCTAAGCCGTGGAGCAAAAATAAATTGTCAGGAAAAAGACCACGCTATATATAGTATTTTTCGTGAAACATGCCAGTTAAGAAAAATAATTTCAGCTCAGCCTTGGCATCTTTGGAAAATTCTCACAGTAGTAAAGACCCAGAGTAATAATTACAAACTTGAACTCACTCATTATGAAATTGATAGAGGCCATCCATGTTTCCGAAAAGTATGTCAGCCTTCCCGTAAAGCGAGTGAGGCACCAGCTCTTTCATTTCGGGATTAAGCATCTCTTTCTTATAGCCCTGGGAGTGAAAGACATGTCGGCGTAAAGATAATTCCACAATTAAAAGTCATGCTAATTCAAAATCATGATAGAGAATTACGGGAATGCAAGAAGAATACAGAGACAACCAAGATGTACCTGAATTATGCTGTACAGCTCGTGAACGTAAGTCTTTTCGGTCTCAATCAGTTCCATCATAACATGTCTAAGGAAAAATATTGAAGCTTGGATAAGGACATTTCATACAAAGACACACTCACACAGAGAAGCAAGCTTGCAAGATAGTCTCAAATACATCTTCGACAATGAGTACATTATGGTACTCCTGATAAAATCCAGTAACATCAGGCAAGATAGTCTCAAATACATCTTCGACAATGAGTACATTATGGTACTCCTGATAAAATCCAGTAACATCAGCTGAATGACAACTCTTCTTAAGCACAAGGACAACAAAAAAAAAGAGCATACCTTACCTATTTGTAGGGCTACAAAATCGTGCAGGCTGTTATTCCAAAGTTTCTAAATTCTGCCAGGAACATTGATACAACTGTGCTTATACACAGCCCTTTACTCGCATATGTTAGTCTGTAAAAGTGCACGTTTTTTTTTGTTTTTTTTTTCTTACTGGTGTAGCACAAAAAAGATCCGCTGGATGCAGTTTAAAGACACCGCATACAGCAGCAAGATGTAATTAAAGAAGTACTCGACTCAAAATTTTGCAGTGAAGCAGGTTACCCTTTCTTGTCTTGTATCATTTCCAGTGACTGCAGACCAGAATCACCGCCACCAGATTGAGCAAAACAAACTTCAACGTGCTACAGATGAGAGAAACAACAAAAATAGGGCCATTAAAGATTTGAAACAAATGAGACAAGCACGAAAGTGTAAACACCCTTTTCAAAATTCAAAGTTATCCAGTGATGCCCACAATTATATAACGACCATATGAATAGCAAATAAAAGCCCTTGATTGGGTCACTAAATACAATAGAACGGGCATGGGTATTAGTGACTCATGAGCATGCAATTAGACCCGGCATTCTGCACTCTAATTAATGGGTGAGGAAGAAACTGGGCTTAGAAATGGCTATGCACAAGATCCTGCCAGGACCTTTTGGAACATTTGAAAACAGTCTACCGGGTTTTGTGGCAGTGACAAATAGTTGAGAAATAATTTTAGAAAGGATCTATTTGTGTTGGACGATTTTAAGATCAAAGGAAAGGTTAGTACACGGTACATTAGCAAGATTGCACCGAGAAATTTTTACAGCAGTGCCATTTGTGAGACGACATCAGTGGACATCATTAATAAAAGCAGTGCAAATGAAAAAATGTTGGAAACTTGAAATTGCACATGCCATGCAAAAAATGCAGTCCGCAGGCAAGCATAAGCTGCCGAAATCAGATGAGGGTCATTTCAAGTTCAAACAGGGACAAGTCAAGTTAGTCACACCAGAGTAGAAACGTTGCAGCACCACATGAAACAGCATTGGAAGCAGAAGCTAATCAATTGAATTTTTCTCGTAGTCAGCGGAATTAGTGCATAAGAGACAAGGCTCCGAATTTCAGGAGTCTGCCTAAGAAATGGTGTGAAGAAACAATACTCACCAACAGGGATCAGACTTAGAAGAAAAAGGGGAATACTGAATTCTGCAAAAACAACAGTACATTGCTCTCTCTGTTCTGCTGCTACAAGCGTGAGCAGGCAGAACACAAAAGCCAGAGCAAAAACTAAGCAAGCAAGGTCACTAAACTGTTCCTTGGCTCGCTCAGATTCTTTGTCTATTTTACCTCCTGCTTCCAAACCTCTTATTCAGCGAAATCCCTTTCGAAGAGGAGCGGTGCAGAGAAGGAAGAGGGCATGCCAAAATGACCAGAAAAACCATGCAAAAATGTCAAGAGAAGTGTGTCCCTACACCACTTCGCAAAATTTATTCAGCTTTACAAACTACGAACCAAAAATACTTGCAGCAGTAAAAACTGAAAATTTACTACACCGAACAGCAGGCAGGTGTCTACGTAATAACAGTACGTCGTATGGCACTACGACGTCCAAAAGCTTCGTCAACGAACAAATTGCACTGTAATGGTACACAGCATGAGCACAATTCTGTTCAATCCAGCAAACACAAGCTTTTCGGCTCCTGCTAGTAATGCGAGATTCAGCAGTGTGAATCCTAATCTCCCAACAAAATTGCCTCCAAAAGTACTAAAACTAACTTATCAAGCACAAATGACATAAACAGTCTTGTCATGCATAAATAAGATAAGGACACCCACACAATAAACCTTAGTCATACTTAATGTGCTTATTGAAGGTCCCCTTTCAGGTAATGCCTGAAGCGCGCCATGCTATGTGAGGCGGCGTGATACTTTGGTACCAGTGCCGTGCACATTCCCTGCCTATCCACAGTGTGGCAAGTGTTGGTAACAGCAGTGGCATAGGCACTTTGGACAGACATTATAGTAAAAATAAACAAGGACTATTGATTTCATACAGGAGCTATTAGAAGCTCAGTTAAATAAACATTCTTACAAACTATATAAATACATTATCAAGAACAAACAGAAAATAAAACCTAAAAGTGATATCACACAGGTAGCCATCAAATGGTAGGCAAAAGGAAGCGAGTGGAATGCATAAAATTAACCATCATGCCATCATGATTTCCAAAAAAAAAGAAGGGCCTCAAAGGATAAACTTAATGGGGAACGGGGTTTTACTTGCTAGCACCATTTTCACCCAAGTCAATCTCCAGGTTAATACATGTGACATGCAAGTTTTCTTTTGAGCATTAGCTCTTCTGCAAACCAGCACCAGAAATCCATAAAAAAAGCTATGGTAATCCAAGCTGTCATACCATTCAGCATACGTTTCAAATTATGATGTGATAGTCATACATCTACAACAATTACTAAAAGGTTGGGATCAGCCAGTGGCATCACTAAGGGGAGGGGGACTGCTCAGCAAGCAACTGGGCAGTGAAAAGGAGCGGGGGGTGTTGCCGCAGGCCATGAGAGAGAGAAAGAGAGAAAGGAAGGGGTTTCGCGGTAGGCTATTGTCCCGGGTGCCGCTGACCCTAGTGATGCCACTGGGATCAGTAATGCCATCCTTTCTCGTTGTTGCATACACCATAGTGCCATGAATTGAATCAAACTCAATATGCCAGTTTTCAATAAAGTTGGACACTAAACACAACTGCCTGCATGCCAACATGCAACTGAAGAAATATCAAGCCAGAAGTGGAAAACAACTTACATGCACCAACTGTGACTGAATTTAAAGAAAGCAAGCACAGTCTACTTGAAAGCAAAAGCTTGCATAGGATGAGACCCATAAAGCAGCACTGCTTTTTGGACGAACTGGTGTCATGATGACTAAAATGACAACACAATTTTTGGGCTAATTACAAGGTTCATAATGCTGTTGTCTATGCTCAAACCTGACCATTTTTAATTTTTGGACATTCGAGGCTATATATTGTCCACAAGGCCTCTGGTAGAAACATAGAAGCACTCATAATATTAATAACCGTCCAAAAAGCTGACGAAATCTTGATTCCCACGCAACAAATGTAAAATCTGAACCCAAGGAAAAAAAAATGCCTATGAACATGGTACAAATAAAAGCACAAAGATATGAAGAAATAATCAGACAGGCTGGTGCCAGGTAAACCTGTTGAAACAAAAAATGCTCCACTCAGCATCGTAGAACTTGTTTTTTTCCCCTCCCATTGACTGGTTCTGCCCCTGACATCGACATTGCGCTCTAACACCAAAAAAAGAAATAGGTGAGGGGGAATGGCCACAATTTGTTTTGGGTGGGGGAGGGGGAGGGAAAGCGACATAGTAGAGAGACTCTTGGGCCCTGCACGTTCAGCGAGAAGGCACCACCTTGGAAGCGGGCTTCTTTGATGCGAAGCTCCTGGGGTCTGCGTCGAATGCCGACACCGCGGAGGAGTTGTACTGCAGCGGCGATGGTTCCGGCGCGACTGCCTGCACTGGCCTGACCTGCCGTGACACCACTTTACGCAGACTGCCTTGCTTGTTCTGGCACATGAGCTTCACGTCGTCTATCCTCTTCAGCACCTGCACCAGAGACAAAGGAAACAGAGGAATTTCTGTCAGTTAGCTGCGGTTGGCAGGTTGTACAAGAACGAGAGGCATTTTCAAGGTATTCATGGCCTATTGGAGATGCTTGTGGTGGGGTCTGCAAGACAGTACGTTGTGATGCGTGTGGGATGTAGTAAAACATGTAGGAGCATTGTATGAAAAACATGAGAGATGCACGATAGACATAATCACGACATAAGATAGATGTATGGGAGACGTATGGAACACATATCAGGGAAGTCGGGAAGACGTAGGGAAGACGTTCGAGACATATAAGAGACAAATGTGGAGACACGCGGAACAGACGTATGAGACATGTGTGAGGTAAACATCTGGGAAATGTACAGTCGCCCAATTTTTTAATAATATCACGCGAGCATCGACCGCCGGGACGGTCAGCGCTGTGCCGTGGAGAAATGCGGCGTCACGGGAGAGATTAGGCGTGTGCGCACAAAGCTCTCTTTGGTGCGAGCGTCGTCTGCTAGGCTATTCTGTTGACCGCACACAGCCCCTGTTCCTTATCTGCTGGCATAGCTGACCGCCTTTAAGCAAAGATCTGACGAGCGCCTGCTTGCGTGATACCGTGATACTGCTCAGGCGTGAAAGAAACCGCGCGTCATCTCGTTTAATTTAGCTTTTTTTATTCTTTTATTTTTTGTTTGAGTTTACTTTGTCAGCACCAAAAAAAGAAAAATATGATGACGCGACAAGCTGAATGCAACGATGCATTAAACTATATAACGCCGCCAATGCTACGAGCCATCAAAACCAATCCGGCGCTGTCACCCTACCACGTGACACCGTGCTTCCATGTGCAGTTGTGCCCAACAGGAAGGCCACGTGACACACTCTTAGCGCGCGCTTGTCGAACATTTGCTCTACCAACAGGTAAGAGAAGGAGAAAGAGAAGTGAGCGTTGGATAAACAATGATGTCAAACGACGCAACGCGCTCATTTGCTACGGAGCAGGGGCTGTGTGCGATCAGCGGAATAGCCTAGCAGACGACGCTCCCCGGAAAGGGCTTTGTGCGCACGCGCTTAATCTCTCCCGTGACGCTGAATTTCTCCACGGCACGGCACTGCCCGTCCCAGCGGTCGACGCTCGCATGATATTATTAAAAAATTGTGCGACTGTAAATGAGCCATAAGCAAGATGTGCACGAGGCACCCACAAGACATGCAAGGCAGACACGACATGACACGCATGTGGGACACAGTTGAGACACGTAGAAGAAACATGAGAAACATTTGGGAGCCACATGCAGACATATGCAAGACAGATATGAGACTCATGTGACAGATATGACACACATGCAAGTCAGATATGAGACACGTGCAAGTCAGATATGAGACACGTACAAGTCAGATATGAGACACACGCGAGTCAGATGTGAGGGACACGCGAGTCAGGTGCAAGAGACACGCGAGTCAGATGTGAGAGACACGCGAGTCAGATGTGAGAGACACGCGAATCAGATATGAGAGACACGCGAATCAGATATGAGAGACACGCGAATCAGATATGAGAGACAGGCGAGTCAAGCACGACAGACGCGCGAGTCAGATACGAGAGACACGCGAGTGAGATACGAGACACGCGAGTCAGATACGAGAGAAACACGAGTCAGGTACGAGAGGCGCGCGAGTCAGATATGAGAGACGTGAGAGTCAAATATGAGAGACATGAGTCAAATATGAGAGACATTGAAGTCAAATATGAGAGACATGAGTCAAATATGAGAGACATTGAAGTCAAATATGAGAGACGTTGAAGTCAAATATGAGAGATACACGCGAGTCAGATATGTAATGCGAGTCATATGGGAAACACCCCAATTGAAAATCTATGCAGCCCACCAGGATTTTAGAAATGTTTTGACATACTTTTAAAAATGTTTGTAGGGTTTGAGATCTTCGTTAAAGTTTTCTAATGGGCCTGACATACCCTTTAAGAATTCCCAAAGTGTGTGAGAGACCCGTCATAGTTTTTTGAGAGGCCTGTGGGGTCTGTCCCAATGCTTTCCGTGAAACCACAGCACCCATCAAAGTCGTTTTAACGTGTCCGTGGGAGAGATTGCGTAACCTTTCAGGGTATATGCGTTGGGGAAGCCGCTTGGCCATTTTGTATCCGGCGGCTAGAACGAGCATTGGAAATTGAGGAGACGTTCTTCCATCCATCATGGCCGTGCCCGTGTGCTCTGTGTATGTGTTTCACGGCTGGACTGGAAAGAAGGAGAGAGAGGAGAAGAGAGAAAGAGAGATGGCGTTTTCCCCAAGCCCGCCCAAGGACATCGAGCTCTCGCCCGCAAAGGAGAAAGTGTGTGGGAAAAATAGGAGGGGGACATTCATCTGCTGTTGGTTCGAAGATAACCTGTTTTTAGCCAGTCAAATACAGCCCTTGTGAGAACCTGGTCACCCTGTTTTTTTGCCGTCAACGAGCGCAAAATATATGCGCAAGAACCAATGAACGTTGAGGGTCGGCTTCTCATACCATGCGTGGGATCTATCTTCTAGAGCAGCGGGGAGTGCGGATGAAGAAGGTCTCTCAGTGCAGTTTCTTGCGCCTCTTCATCCGTCTGGCTTCAGAAACGTCCAGCGATCGAAAGAGACGCTGGAGATGCCACTGCGACAGCGACGCCACCATGGAACGACACCGTGACTGTGCTCTGGATTCATCAACGGCTGTGGATGTTGGTTGCACATTCGGGGATTTCGCTAAACGTGATACTGACAGTGTGTAGTGTGCGTGCAGTGCACCTGCTCGGTTTATTCACTTAACTACTGTATATCTCAGGAATTCAGCCAGCAGCATTGTACGTACCTGAAAAGATATTTTTTGCGACACAGAACTTAGTTGTCCCTGTTTGGTCTGATTGCTTTTGTCTACAGCTGCTTGACCCAGGTTTGAGTAAACATAGGTTCTTATCGTCTTTTTAAGTTACAACATGCATGTAAAACTCCCAATCTGTAAAATAAATTAACAATAACGTTTTAAACTGCATTTTTGGTATATGCGTCTAAAAGGTTGAAGGGCTGAGGCGGTCTAAGAGGCTGAAGGGCAAGTGGTTTGAAGAGCTGAAGGGGTTTGAAGTGCTGAAGGGTTCCATAACACATCAGGGCTGAAGTGTTATTTTCAATAGGGACACGAGTCAGATACGAGAGACAAGCAAGTCAGATACGAGAGACACGCAAGTCAGATATGAGACAGACTCGAGTCAGGTATGAGACACACGCGAGTCAGGTATGAGACACACGCGAGTCAGGTATGAGACACACGCGAGTAAGGTATGAGACACACGCAAGTCAGGTATGAGACACACGCAAGTCAGGTATGAGACACACGCAAGTCAGGTATGAGACACACGCAAGTCAGGTATGAGACACACGCAAGTCAGGTATGAGACACACGCGAGTCAAGTATAAGACACGCAAGTCAGGTATGAGACACGCGAGTCAGGTATGAGACACGCGAGTCAGGTATGAAACAGAAAGCAGATATGAACTGATGAGATTGAGATACGAGACACATGCGATTCAGGTATAGGACAAGCGAGACATGCGAGGCATACGAAAGACAATTGGGAAACATGTGCAAGGCATATGCACGACATGTGTGAGACATATGTGAGACATGCATGAGACAAATGTGAGACTTACGCGAGACATAAGGGTCACCTGTACAAAGGACATGAGCTGAAGGTCCTTGACAAAGTTAGTGCCAATGCAAAGTGACTTGCCTGCTGCAACAAGGGCTTGGTGTCACTGTTGATGAAGTCCTTGAAGAAGCGGTGGAACTCCCGTGGATCATCCAGGCGGAACTCACTGGAGCTGCTGAGGAAGGCGTCGAGTTCCTGGAGCGCAGAGCGAGCAAACTCCTGCGACGAGCAGCGCTCCATGTCCAGGCTGGCCAGGAGGTCCACACCCTGGCTGCACCACTTGTTGGCCTGGGGTTCGAGAAGCACACATGCCGCAGCGGTTAATCAAGTGTGTTGCCAACAGCCTTGGAACAGGGTAAACAGACTGAACACTTGAAGAGTTTTCAGAAACTGGCACATTAAACTACGACTCAAAATAAAGACTATTTGAAAGGCATGAGTAATTATATTGACACTCTTAGAAAAGCAGGGCACAAGTAACGGCATAAATTTGCATCTTATATTTTTTTTTTAAGCAATGCCCATATGAACAAACCTAGAGATGATACATGAAAAACATAGAACTGAAGGTCATAATGGGACAATTTGACCCTCATTTTCTATGCAGAATACAAAGACGTAGAGTAGAAGAAAGATGGAGAGAAAGGTTTTATCCGGCTTTACAAGGCAGACATCAAAGATTTTTGTACATTTATGGTTTCATTACGAGGCATGACAATCTTTTTTTTTTAAATATCCTAATGGCTAGGAGGAACACTAGCGACATCTTCCATGCCCAGATATACTTTTCTTCTGGGAGGTTCAGACGCTAGTTCTTATGAGCCGGTTTCACTAAAGTCATCATCTGCAAAGATATGACAATGTGTGATATCAAGCTAGATTTAAAATATGACAAGCATGACTGCCTCTGGGAAAATTAAATGGTGGCTTTACAGGTGCCCTACCTTGTCAATGCGGTGCTGAAGGTCCCTGAACCGGTGTAGTACGTCGAGCCTCTGCCTCAACTGCTCCTGGAAGTCTGCACACATGCGCTCCAGCTCCACACACTTGGGCTCAATGGAGTCCACCGCGTAGTGGCCGCCAACAATCAATTCCCGGCCGGCCTGCCTCAGCTGCTCTGCCTTCTCTGTGTCCTCCTGCAAGAACCAAGGGAAGGTTATGACACACATCAGACACTAAAGCAAAAACACTCAAAATCAAGATCAAGCAATGAATGTGGTGACAATACTGAAGTACTACTATCATAAGAACAAGCAGACCTTAAAGGGGCACTGACACCCCAAAGGTTGTATTATTTTTTTATTGTCTAAAATGATGCAAGTTATAGTCATAACCACGCAAAAACATTTGCATCGTGAAAAAAAATTTTCCTGCGCGCGCGTGCGCGCTCCTTTTTATTTTTGAAGTTCATATTTCCTGCACTCACCTCCTTGCTTCTTTTGATTGGTGATGTCAAAAATCAGGAAATTTAGAAGCTTTGTAGGCGACATTTAGTAACGGCAATCGTAAAACATGTTTTTTAACGCAATTGCAAACACACTACGGCCCCTCTTTTTGAAATACCAAAAATCAAATTTCGGTGTGATGTCGCTTCCTGGATTTGTATCCTCCCTCGAAAAACTTGGCGGCGCTCGAGCAGAGGATGATCGGCGAGTCGGGGAAGAAACCGGTTTTTTACCGTGCCGGCGCCCTTCTATCCCGCCTGGGCATCTCCTTCTCGCTTCAAGTTGCAGTGGCAACGGCGGAGGTCCCAAAGAAAGTCGAGTCGCAGGAGACCGCAAAATTTGACTCACTGCACTGGCGCGGATCACGCGGGAACTTCAAATTCGGCATTTGGAAATTTCTTTTTTAATTCAGAAATACTGAATTCCCAAGTTTCGAATTTTGAGGGTAATGTCTCGGCATCGTTTTCAATCGTTTCGGATAATAAAAAAAAATATGATTTTGATGTGTCAGTGCCCCTTTAAGCAAAGAATATTCTTCTGAAACATAGAAGACTCACTTCCGAGAGGCTTTGAAACTCATGCAGCTCCTGAAGCAAGGTGTCGACCTGAGCGACTGAGTCCCCCATGGACTGCATGGCACTCAGGTCCCGCAGGTTGGCCGCCATGTTGGCCTGCAACTCGCGGAACTCCTGCTCAAACTTGCGCAGCTCAAGGCACTGGTTCAGTCTCTTCTGGTGGGCGCTCCAAAAGGCATCGAAGCCGTCTTCTGTACTGTTCAGCTGCTGAAGCAACCTGGGTCAACATGGGAAGGGAGGAAAGCAAAGTCGAAAAGAGTTGTAAAAGAGGAGATGCAAGGCGGAGGGAGTTGCGAAAGGCATGTTATAAAGGGGAGGGAGTCGCAAAGAAAGCTGCAAAAAGGAGTTGCAAAAACAGTGTGATAACACAGTCAGGATGACACCACACAAACTGATGCGCAGCAGCCAATGGGAGCCTTGTCGACACGTGCCAGCCAATGGGACCAAAGTGTAAAAGATTCCGTTGCCTAGCTTTGCCCGTGGTTTGATTAAGGTGCCGTTTTGCATGGTTTCAAAGCTGATGATGTCAGCTCGCTCCTTGAGACCCAGTTAATGCTTTCGCATTAAAAGGAGCAGCAAGAGGCAGCAGCAAAAGGGAGCCACAGAGGGCAAGCCGCAAAGAAAAGGCAGCAAAAAGGAAAGGCCGCCAAAGGGAAGTTGCCAAAGGGCAAGTCGCCGAAGGGCGAGTCGCCGAATGGCACGGTGTAGGAAGGCTCTCTAGGTGTGGAGACTCCGCTCTCCGCCTTGACCAGATAATGACACCCCACGTGCTTCACTTCACGGAGCCACCCCCAGATGGCGCCGTAAGTTTCAGGCCATCCGGCAGCGCACCGGGCCGCCTGTGCTAGCTGCCAGCTCAGGGTGCAGCTTGCTTTCTGGTGGCTACGGGTCCGCGTAAGATTTGGTATGTAGGTGGGGCCATTCAACTATCATCTCTCTCAGCACACTGCAGTTTTCACAACCCAAAAAATGGTAGACAGACAAACAAGAGTAACTGCCTAATACGAGCCGACGCGGCGGTCTACGAGTGAAAAAGAAATATCCCTCTCCTGTAGATAATTTCTAGCCTAGCTTACATTCCGTCGTTTGTTTCCTCAGTAGCGCAATAGTAACGTCGGGAAGCGTTTGTAAAATGAATAAACTCTGATTGTAGCGCAGGTAAACGATAACTTGAGTGCGACCGAAAGAAAAAAAATGCACAAAATAAAGAATGATTAACACAAACCTTGTTAACGGATAATAAGGAACTGAATTGCTTTAAGCACCGTTCACATAACTTTTCTAAATATATATATATATATATATATATATATATATATATATATATATATATATATATATATATCGGGTTCGCAAATTACCGTTGATTCGACTGGACTATTAAAAAAACAAATTTTTTTTCAACATGTGGGGCAGCTAACGCGATTATTCTTTTACATTTTAAGGCAGCCTTTGAGTCCTGCTAAATTGAACTCCTGGCCGAATTGGCACGAAGTTACACATTTTGCACTCTTTCATTCTTTGAAATTCTTTGAAGGCATTCTTTGAAAGGTTCACTTTGTTAGTACACTTACATTTGCATGTAGCAGATTGCAGTAAAGGTTTGTAGTAACCACACTCGTCCAGTAAAGCAAACCGGTTTCATTAATGGCACTTCTGATATAAGCATAATAATAATATCATCACAAACTTAAAAAAAATCGCTGTAAAAAAAACGCTGAAAAAAACCGCGGTTAAAACATTGTTTAATGTATGGCACACTCTATAGCTGCTTTTGGAGTTCTTTTCCACATTACGAGTCGCACAGTCGGGACTCTTTCTTCTTTTCTTGAGACTGCTTCTTTGCATCTCGTTTTTTTCCTTTGCAGTCCTGTCGCATTTAATGCGATCCGAACCCTTTTGCACGTTCGACCGAAACTGGAGAAGCGTTTGCCTTCCACGGAGGCGTCTGCATTCCACGAGAACGCCAGACAGAATCCGACCCTGAACAGATGGGCAGTCTGTTGTGTCTGCGTCTATCGCATGCAATACAATCCCCTACGAGGCTTCTTCAATTTGGAGAGAACAACGACCGAGCATGTGACTGATCCATTCGGCAGACGTCTTTATCCTGATCGTCTCTTTTACTAATATTTTCATGTCGTTGTTTTCCCTTTCTAAAATATTTACGTTTCCCCAGGCTGGAGAGCAGTCGGCGCATTCATTGAAATGTTTGGCTTTGGATCTTTGGTTTTTACATTTCGTTTATGCTCGGTTCACCATTGAAAAAAAAAAAAGTTAAAGCCGTTTACAACTCCCTGTAACACCGAATTAGAGCGCAGCTCTTGAGGAGGAGGAGGGAAGGGTACTGGAGGGGGTCACGTGACCTTGGGGGTCACGTGACGATGCCGATGATGTCATCAGTGACGTCACTGATGACGTCATCCGTGATGATGATGATGACGATGCGGGTGCCGGTGACGTCATCAGTGATGATGACAATGACGATGCGGATGCCGGTGAGGTAATCAGTGACGTCACTGATGACGTCATCAGTGACAATGACGATCGGACTCCAATGACGTCATCAGCGATGATGACGATGACAATGCGGATGTCTGTGACGTCATCAGTGACGATGACGATCGGACTCCAATGACGTCATCAGCGATGATGACGATGACAATGCGGATGTCTGTGACGTCATCAGTGACGTCACTGATGACTTAATCCGTGATGATGACGATGACGATGCGGGTGACGTCATCAGTGACGTAACTGATGACATCAGTGATGATGATGATGACGATGCGGATGCCGGTGAGGTCATCAGTGACGTCACTGATGACGTCATCAGTGATGACGATGACGATGCGGATGCCGGTGACGTCATCAGTGACGATGACGTCATTGGGGAGGTCACGTGACCTCGGTGGGGGGGTCACGGGACCCTGGGGGTGGTCACGTGACCTCGGGGGGGGGGGGGGTTACGTGACTTTATGTGTCATGTGACCTTGGGGGTCACGTGACCCTGGGGGATGTGTCATGTGACCTTGGGGGTCACGTGACCCTGGGGGAGGGGTCACGTGACCTCTGGGGGCCGCGTGACCTCTGGGGGCCGCGTGACCTCTGGGGGCCGCGTGACCTCTGGGGGCCGCGTGACCTCTGGGGGCCGCGTGACCTCTGGGGGCCGCGTGACCTTGGGGTCCGCGTGACCTTGGGGACCGCGTGACCTTGGGGGCCGCGTGACCTTGGGGGCCGCGTGACCTTGGGGGCCGCGTGACCTTGGGGGCCGCGTGACCTTGGGGGTCGCGTGACCTTGGGGGTCGCGTGACCTTGGGGGTCGCGTGACCTTGGGGGTCGCGTGACCTTGGGGGTCGCGTGACCTTGGGGGTCGCGTGACCTTGGGGGTCGCGTGACCTTGGGGGTCGCGTGACCTTGGGGGTCGCGTGACCTTGGGGGTCGCGTGACCTTGGGAGTCGCGTGACCTTGGGGGTCGCGTGACCTTGGTTACGCCGACTTCGACGCCGACGCCGCTCAAGCCGGGAACGGGCCCCTAAAAGCTGCCTTCTAAAAAAAATTTTAAAAAAGTTGGAAAAAATTAGAGGCGGTGTAGCCTACGTTCCGGCGGAGGGCCGGCGACCGGACGGCCTGAGCGTGTAGCCTACGTTCCGGCGGAGGGCCGGCGCCCTCTAGGGGCGGGCTGAGAAAACATAGGAAAGGAGGGGACGTGATGTGTTCGCCGTTCCAACGGGGCGAGGAGAAGTCTCCACACCTAAAGAGCCTTCCTACACCGTGCCGAAGGGCGAGTCGCCGAAGGGCGAGTCGCCAAAGGGCGAGTCGCCAAAGGGCGAGTCGCCAAAGGGCGAGTCGCCAAAGGGCGAGTCGCCAAAGGGCGAGTCGCCAAAGGGCGAGTCGCCAAAGGGCGAGTCTGCAAAGGGCGAGTCTGCAAAGGGCGAGTCTGCAAAGGGCAAGTCTGCAAAGGGCGAGTCTGCAAAGGGCGAGTCTGCAAAGGCGAGTCGCCAAAGGGCGAGTCGCCAAAGGGCGAGTCTGCAAAGGCGAGTCTGCAAAGGCGAGTCTGCAAAGGCGAGTCGCCAAAAAAGGAGTCGCCAAAAAAGGAGTCGCCAAAAAGGAGTCGCCAAAAAGGAGTCTGCAAAGGGGAGTCTGCAAAGGGGAGTCTGCAAAGGGGAGTCTGCAAAGGGGAGTCTGCAAACGGGAGTCTGCAAACGGGAGTCTGCAAACGGGAGTCTGCAAACGGGAGTCTGCAAACGGGAGTCTGCAAACGGGAGTCTGCAAACGGGAGTCTGCAAACGGGAGTCTGCAAACGGGAGTCTGCAAACGGGAGTCTGCAAAGGGGAGTCTACAAAGGGGAGTCTACAAAGGGGAGTCTGCAAAGGGGAGTCACAGATGGAGCGACAAGACTGTCTCCAACGCACCTCTCGACGGCACAGACGTTGATGAGCCTCTGGGAGGCCCTAGGGCTGTGGACGGTGTGGTCTTGGGGGGCCGGTGAGGGCGGCCGGACACAGCGCAACAGCTGGTGGCCGTGCTGAGAGGCGTTCAGCAGGTCGTCCTTCAGCTCCTGGTACTGGCCCCCCTGGTCGCGCAACAGAGCCACCGTCGACGCCACGTCATTAGGGAGCTCCGTGTCTCGCAGCCGCTGCGTGATCTCCCGGATGCTCTCCGTCATCTCCTTCAGGCTGCCCGTGAACATCTCCACCGCCTGCCAGATGCAAATGAACAATATTTATGCGGTCCAGTTCAGAGAATGGAAGAATAGTTTCAGATGGTAAACTGTAAAATGGAGGGCAAGCACCCACACAGTGAACAGTGCAGAAATATTTGACGGGACCTTGCTCAAGCTGAATTTATGTGCACAGTATACATATCGCTCAATTAAAACACATGATGATTATCGTCAATAATTAACATCAAGTTAATGTGTTCTTATTTTATTACTAGTTTTAATTGTTTCTTCTTTGGATGAAGCTGCAAAAGTATAGGCTGCGAGGATTTTGTCGGACCACAACTTAATTTTATGCGCAATTATTTATACAAGTTAGCTTTAATGAAAGGAAAAAAGAAATAACAAAGTATGTCGATTGAACAACTGAAGCTTATCTATATAGCTGACACAATTAGGCAAGCGAAGCAAATCTGCTGACTCATGGCAGACATTAAGCCATCACACACCAGACAATGAGTCGACCAATTAGCTAGTCCACTGATTACAGTAAATTCTTGTGGAAATGGCAGACGAATATGACTGGCTTCAAATAAGGCACTTTGATTTAGCCATCTGCTGCCTTTAACAAGGCAGCAGATGCCTCCTTGCTTCAAATGCCTTGTTGCTGCACATGAACAGAAAACCTTTTTGGGAACAGTGGTGCCCTGCAATGGCATAGCTAGGAATATTTTTTTTTTTTTTTGGGGGGGGGGGGGGGGGGGTGGGCTGAGGTGGCTGGGATATCTATGACTTGGGGTGCAAAGAGCGGGAGGGGAGGTAAAAATGCATGTGGATATTATAGGGTCGGCTGGATTTAAGGGGGGTGGGGCTGAAAAGCCTCATAAGCTTTCCACCCCCCCCCCCCCCCACCCCCGGCTATGCCCCTGGTGTCCTGCATGTGTCACTGCAATGGATGCTTGCCTTATGCACTAGCACTGCCACAAAAATAATCGAAATGGCCATTAGCTAAGTTCTCCTGCTTATAAATTGTAAAAATATAAAAAAATATGGTTGTAGAAAAAACTAATACCATCAGGTATACAGCTACAAGTTTCTCTCCTTAGTTCTAAGGAATTTTAGCTATATGATGGGAAAGTAACACTTGAGCTGCAAGACACGCATCACTTACCATTCGTTGTTCCATCCAGCGGTCATGGTCATACGGAATCAAGCCACCCAGATCCTCAGTAAGTTGGCCAGGGTCGATGTACTCGTGCAACTCTTCCAGAGTATTGCACATTACTATCTGCAACCAGACAAAAAGAAAAGCATGCTAACATGACCATTGTACACCTTAGTGATTACTGTTACGCAGAATGTTTCTTGAAGGCTGCCTGTCAGCATCTTCGTCATGATCATGGTTTCAGAAGCAACCCAGACAGCAAAGAAATAAAAAGGTGGGACTTACCCTAAACTTAAACTCTTCTTTACACAGCTTGTTGCTAACTTCTGACAGTGCTTTCTGTAAAAATCCCACAGGCTTGAGGACAAACACTACTTGAATTAAGCCTGGGAAGTACCCCTGAAACAGCAAGAGCAGTGTTGTGGTTTGGCACATAACCAATCGCAAGGCCCGAGTCGAGCTAAAACTCACTGAGATCTTGAGCAAAACAGTCTTGACAGAGTTCCATTTGTCTTTCCGTCTGTCCACAACCAATACAAAACCTAGCTCAGCATCTTGCGCTCTGTAATAAAAACAAAAACAAAAAAGGAAAGAAAACTCTAATGACCAACTGAGTCATAGGTCATTCCACAATAGGCTAAAAAAACTTGCAATGAGAAAATGTAAAAAAAAAGGGAAAAGAAAACTGATTTTGCACTTGCCAGTGAATCGGGCAATAAAACACTTTTTAGGAAATTAACCTCACAGTGTGTTCTGCAACATATGCTTTACAGCAATGCTACCATGGTTTCAAAACAGAATCCCAACAATGAGGTACTGGCAGGGCTTGACGCGGCACATTGGTGTGAAGAGGAGAAGCCAAGCCGAGTAGCATTGCCGCATTTCCATGAAAAATCCCATTATTTGGAAAACTCTATAGAAACAAACAAAAACTTCAAAATAGGAGCAGCATAGTATCAGTGATGGGATTGGTCTGACTCCTTCTGTGTGATTCCACCGAACACTAAAGTATACTCTATTTCACAAACACTGCGAGAAAAGTCAAAGCAAGAAGCATGCGCCTCGAACACCGTGGCCTCGAACAGCCTTTCACTGCGCGAGTATGCAGTCATGAAATGTACACTAAAAGTGTGGCCCTCCTCACTAGGATCCTGTTTTGCTCGCAATTATTATGAATCAGAGTACAGCCATTAATTCGGCTTAAGTGCACCAGACACAACAAAAAATTTTTACCAAAAACTATTCCTCGTATTAAAGAGAAAAAAAAAGGCACATTGCAGCAGCCCTTTTTGTAAAACAACGATTAATGAAGAAGATAGGGTTAAAATCGATGAATGGTTAGATTAGGTTTGAAATGACAGGTAAACCATATTCCACTGAAATAACACCAGAATAGAATAATTTTGAGTAGCAATCTAATTGTTATGTTCGAGCTCTGAAGGTTCCAATAAAACTCCGATGTTCTTTAAAAACTAAAGTTGAACTCAATTAAGTAATTCAACTGATAAGCTAATTTAATAATTAAAAAGCGCAACAGGACAACGGACGCAGAAGGAGACACAGACACAGCACTCCTTCTGCGTCCGTTGTCCTGTTGCGATTTTTAATTATTATGCTCACCAACTCGCCCAACTTTCTACCCTTGTAAGCTAATTTAGTTTTACTTTAAACTATGTTGGCTATAGCCTCAAACAGTTGGAGGCCTATTGGGAGGCGATAACAGAACAAGAGGCTTCACGAATAGAGTAAACACACAGTGCATCACACCTATACCAAATCGAGGTTATTTAAAAATCCTCTATACCCAAGTATTTTTCCTTAAAGTCCGACGACCAGTTCGCGCTTTCCACTTTTTTCTCGCGTCCTCCTCTCCCCTTTTCTACGTTGTCCACCGCTGCTTGTTTCCTTCTCCCCCATGTGAGGAGGATCTTCTGCCTTGCAGAATCTCGAGTCTGGTGGTCGGAAATAATTATCACGACGAATGACGCACGAAACTCGTCGGCCATCGCAGTCAATTATCTTGCATACCAGCAGCGGTTTTATTTTTAACAATTTACTGCGCGGTATTTGATCCCCGACGAGTGCGCGTGCAGCGTGCTTCATCCTGCTTGGAAGGAGCGCTTTTCCCTTAGCACGCGGCTGCCCTCCGGCAAAGCGAGACAATCAACCGCGAAGCCTACTTTGAGGGTGTCGCTTCTCTGCAGTGCACTAGCGAGCAGTCAGAAGCGCACTCAACGAAGTCAACTAACCCGTTCAAACAGACCACAAACAACGAGAAATATATTGCGAAACTTCCAACTTTCAAGTACTGTATGCGTTCATACTAAGATTAAATCGAAAAGTATTTCACGTCGTTTGAACCAGTAATCGAATGTTACTCCGTACCCCAAACCTCACTGAAAGGCCGACACGCGTGCACATTGAGGCAGACTATCGCAAGACGTTCTAATATGAAACAATGCACTATCCAACGTGTAAACTTGCCCCAGTGGGCTTGACGCTTTGGCAAACACGCGAGTGCACGCACGAGCGCTGAAAACGAGAAAACCGCTAGAAAACCGAACCCTGCTTTTCGCACCGCAAGAATAAACTAGACATCGCGGATAGCTCAAACTCCGGCAGAACGTAGCCCCAGCAGTTTGAACAAGATGCCAAAGTTTTAACACCAACCGTTAAACTATTCAAAAGTTATAAGCGACTTCCTGAAAATTTCAATATAAAAATGGCGGCCGACGGATCTCTCTATGGCTTCAGAAACCGAAAACGGGCGAAAATGGGCGCCATTTTCCCATTGAAATTTTCAGAAAATCACTTTTAGGGTGATTTCAGATAAGATCGACCAAAGGGTGGCTGGTCGACATTTTTAAATCAACTGAAGTTTTTATATGACATTGTCTAGTGTCTGGTATAAACGAATCCACACTTAGTTCTGACCAGAAAAAAAATTTGGAGACAAGAAAAATCGTAAGGCAGGGAGAGGTGGACAGTTGCAATAACGCGCACTGATGGAGGGGGCAAGTTTGAAAGTGAATAATTAAAACAATAAAATTAGGAGAATTTTAAAACTTTTTACAAACAAACTATGGGTACAACTTGCTTGTAATATAAAGTAATATTATTTATTAAAAATTTATTTAGTTTTCTAAAAATTGCCAAACATGCCTGCTCGAACGACAAATGGCAAACTTTGGAAATCTGTATCTCATGAAATAATTTAGTCATTATTACATAACTTGCAGACATTATTTTACTAATATATGGCTATTATTTAAAAAATAAATAAGGTATCTGAGTGACACAATAGTTACAATATATTTAGGCAAACATGGGAAAAAAATCAAACAAAGAAAAATTCCAATGCGAATAAAAAAAAAAAAACACCACCTTCGATTTTTTTTTAAATTTGGGTACCCTGTTATACTCTATTTCGGCATTCATTTCTATTAAAAACATGTTGCATCATTGCACTGTGAAAGAAGAAACAACTCCCCAAAGTAGGATCCTTTTTCAAAGCCTACACTTAGCAGTGTCCTATACAAGAAGTGACTCTGAGTTCCAGTTTCATGAAACTTGCACAAATCTTTTATATACATTTATTCAGATGAGGTCATTGATAAAAAGAGCGATCGGTCACACAGTAAAAGGGAGGAGAAACTATATACAGCATTTTACATAAGCGTACAAAGTGGTATCATATTAGAGACTAATGATTTGAGAAAAGATGATGCAGTGTGAAGTTGTACCTTCCGATATATTTTACATCTGGAGTAAAATAAATAACTTTACTTCCACACACAAAAACAAAGATATAATAGTAAGATATTTAGGTTGGCTGTGTATTTACGATTACAAACAATTTCAGGTGACGGATGCCATAGTGCCTAACTGGAGCAGCTTCGATGCTCTCGGTGTATGAATGAATCGTGGCAAGCCGATATATTTTATCCTGCTCGAGGATAACATTTTGGGATTTTTTTTTATAGTGATCAGATAAAAATTATTAGTAACCACCAACAAAAACAGTAGGTTAAATACCCCGTGAAGAAAAATGTGATAAATAAGATGTCCCTGCATTCAAAATGAGCAGTCATTGGGAAATCAAATTTGGCACTTTACGCTAAGGTTTTCCTCGCTGTACCCATTTAATAAAGTTGCTTCCAAGCAGATCCGACTGTCCGTGCTACATATACGTCACAGGTCCCTTCTGTTGATGACTTGCTGAGCCGCCACGCGTGCCAAGACTGAATGCCAGGGAAGGCGCGCACCGTCAGCCACTCTTCTTTTTTTTTTGTTCACGATGCCGAACAACCTCATTTTCGTCCAGATATACAAGATGCACGCCTTTCAGTTTCTTTGATAGAACGCTCACCATTGTCCTGGCCGTCTGAATTGCGCTTACTGAACGTTTTCTCAGGTTGTTCAGCGTGGCCTGGTGCTTCACGAGTCCGCCAACTCCGTCACATGCATTTTTCCCATGTCCAGATGCAGAAAATAACCACTGGGCTTGTGGGCAATCGTCCTTTGCAAATTGGTGAAGCTGGTAGCGATTCTTGAAATGACTGGCGGCGCCGTCACCTACGTACGTCACGTACGAGTATACCGCAACGTTGTCTTCAACCCACTCCTTCACTTTTCTAGAGCCAAGCAAGCGTGAGCGGCGTCGTGACACAGGTCCTCACTGATGATGGCAAAGCTGTTTGTAGATTTTCTTGTCGTCACTACACATGTAAATATCGAAACTTGTTTTTTTTTTTTTTTTTTCCAGTGATATGCTTGCACTTCGTCAAGAAGCACGATGGTCCAGTTTTCAGCAAAGTCAAAATGAAAGACAATGCTCCCGCGTTGCATGCACTGTTTTTCATCGTAGATCGCTTTACCTTGCATTTGCCGGATATGGTTGTGAAGTACCCAACTTCCAACCGTCACTTGGATGACTTTTAGGAAAGTCTCAGGTTCCAAAGTTTTTTTCACAAGGTCGCCGGACTCCCATGTTGCAAGCACAATCTCTTCATCCTCCGGGATATCAAGTTCCTGGAGTGTAAGAAACTGGCCTTTTGGGCAGTGATCACAGTCTCCTTGAAGGCACAGTTCTGTTGCTGGGTCGCACAGAAATGCCGAGTTCATTTCACCAGTGTTGAATGTTGAGCCTGTAACGTTCTCTAGAGCGGCGATACAAAGATAATAATTGGCGCAGCGCACACAAACGCACACTTCCTGGTGTGGAATACATTGGACCCATCTAGGGCGCAACGAATAAAATTTCGTTAGCCCAACACCGGAATCGGGATGCTTGTCTTTGTATATACGGAAGGCGCCTCTCGTATTGAGCGTGTCATGAAGCGCTTTGGCACGAACGTTTTCTCTCCGTTGAGCATGACAGAGATGACGTCCTTCTGGTTGGGACTTTGGCGCGAACATTGTAGCTCGTCTTTCGTGAAGTACTCTAGGGCAGCAGACAGGTTCTCAGGGCTCACCTTGCACCTCGTGTAAGGATCCGGCTCATACCACACGCCATGCTTTTCCTTGAGTTTTCGGGATTTACTGATGAGGTACATTGAGGCCTGTGGAATCATCTTTTGAACCTCATTCTTCGTCAGTGTTGACGGCAGGAGTGTAAGCAGTTGACAACGTTCCCGGAGAGAGGTGGCGGTTTCAAAGGCCTGCCGAAAGTTGTCCACCCACTCAGTGCATGTGGAGCATGTTGGTTCGGACGACCCCGATGGTGCGTCCCTGTCGTACGCAATACGTAGCCTTGAACGTATATTCTTGACAGCAACCTGCTTCAGTTCTGTCTGCTTTCTCTTGACATAGGCAGGCCTGTCCCGACTTCTTACGACGCTTGGTTGTCTCAGCGGCGACACATCTGTAGGTAGTATGCTGCGATTTAGATCTTCAATTGCTTCTTCAGCTGGCACAAATATGTCAGGGCACTGCTCTGAGCTTCGCATCGAGATCTCCTTAGTGATGTGCATGAAGCAATGGTAGCACAGGTATAGTCCGTCGCACTCACTTTGGTGGAACAGTCAGGCGGAAGAATTTGCTTCAACGAGTTTAGGTCCAACTCGCCAACACTTCGAAAATTCCGCTGCTTTGGTATAGTCTTTTTGTGTTTGCAAAAGTAATCTGCACAAAACACTCGTTCGGAGCTCCAGGACGTCTTCATAATGTATACATAAATAATAGAAATTAAACCCCAACTGATGGCATATAATTGCCAAGTGAAAGAACTACTGGGTGCACAAGTGACAAGTCCGAGGCTGAGGAGCTCACTCACTGCAAACGTACATTTGAAAAGAGAGGTCACAACTGAGGCTGTCGGCAAAGCTTGATCCACGTCAAAGGAAGAAAGAGGGAAAGTCTCCAGACAAAAAATTGTGGTCAGCGGCCTTCGAAAAAGACTTTCTGGAATCGCACTGTCGTCCCTCCACGCGCTGATATGAAAGCACCCGAGCTTCTACCACGTGGTTCATGACACAGCCTGAGCCATGTCGTCGACCGGTTCGCGAGGGGTTGGCGGTGGGGTTACGTTGATGGTCACTCGGATTAGCCCTTGCTGTACTGAGCTACCGCCTGCAGTGCCTTATCGCCGGCTGGTGTCAACAACGAGAACACACACACCCTGTCTACACCAAAACTACAAGCGTTCACCGCACAGGCGTCGCCGCCGCTTTTAAGCTTTTGTGAAATTGCTTTCTTTTGCCGCGGAGAACCGCCTTATCTTAAATACGCGCCTGAAATCCTTCCAGGCGGGCGTACACAATATCAAGCGTTTCAAGAAATGCCCGTGGAGTAGAACTATGGGAAAATTCGGAGCCCGCGATGTCGATATCGTCGCCGTTGTGTTAGTACGCCGTCGCGTACTGCAGTCCCCCGTTGGGGGAGGGGGGGGGGGGGGGGCGGTCTTACTACGATAACATGGCGACAGCGTTTACACTCTATGTATTTACGCGAGGCTCGAGTACTTGGGGATAATGCTGCCGGTTGGTGTGCCCCTTTGTGCCTGATATTATCGCCCGTGACGCCAGCGAGTGAGATGGCGACAGGCATGACTGCTCAGTAAGCAGGCGTCGGCGGCCATGTTTTGCTGGTTGAAGCGAACCCCCTTGTCCTTGACAGCGAGCGGGGAAATGCAAAAAAAAAGATTGTATCGGCCGTTTTGCCAGAACTAGCGACGAGTGTCGTCTGCGGTTTCCGGCAACTATTTTGCCATAATCGTGAGCTTAGCGAGGAAATGATTTTTGCTAGCCACAGAACACTACCACGCAGAAAGGGAATGCTTGAACATGTTTTTGTTCTTGATATATATCAGGGATATATATATGAGAGAGAGAGAGAGAGAGAGATGAAGGTAGAGCGGAAGAGGGAATAGCATATAGTGTCGCAGGAGAATAAAGTAAACAAAGTTCCTAGTGGCCGATGGCTGCATGATCTTTTCTCGGATCACTAGTCCGTAATATGATACCTCTTTGTACACAGTAGTTTCTCCTTAATTTAAGTGTGTGAACGATTTCTTTAGTTATCATTGGCCTCATCTGAATAAAAATATATAAAAGATGTGTGTTGGTTTCATGAAACTGGAACTCAGAGTCAGTTCTTGTATAAAACACTGCTAAGTGTAGGCTTTGAAAAAGGACCCTACTTTGGGGAGTTGTATCTTCTTTCTCAATAAAATGATGCAACATGTTTTTAATGGAAATGAATGCCGAAATAGAGTATAACAGGTTACCTAAATTTAAAAAAAATCGAGGGTGGTTTTTTTTTTATTCGCATCGGAATTTTTCTTTGTTTGATTTTTTTTCCATGTTTGACTAAATATATCCTAACTATTGTATCACACAGATACCTTAGTTATTTTTTAAATATTAGCTATATATTAGTAGAATAATATCTGCAAATTATATCATAATGATTAAATTATTTCATGAGATACAGACCTCCAAAGTTTGCCATTTGTCGTTCGAGCAGGCATGTTTGTCAATTTTTAGAAAAATAAATAAATTTTAAATAAATATGATCACTTTATATTACAAGCAAGCTGTACCCATAGTTTCGCCTAAAACGTATTAGAGTTCTCCTAATGTTATCGCTTTAGTTATTCACTCTCAAACGGGCCCCCTCATCAGTGCGCGTTAATGCAACTGTCCACCACCTCATGCCTTACGATTTTTCCTGTCCCCAAGTATTTTTTCTAGTCAAAACTAAGTTTGGATTTGTTCATACCAGACACTAGACAATAACATATAAAAACATCAGTTGATTTGAAAATGTCGACTAGCCATCCTTTGGTCGATCTTATCTGAAATCACCCTATAACTTTCGAATAAGATAACGCTTGGTGCTCAAACGTTGGCAACTTGCTCGAACGGCTGGGGTTACGTGCTGGCTGAGTTTGAACCTTCCGCAACGTCTTGCTTATTTTTGCAATGCAGCAAAAAAAAAAAAAAAAAAAAATGGTTCGTCCGGTTTTACGTGCGACCCCCCCCCCCCCCCCCCCCTTCCGCCCCCCCGAGTTGCTGCATTGGATTCATACGACTGAACCCCTTAAATTGAGCGGTGACTTGCGTAAAGTAAAAAACAACAACAACGATATTTTTTTTTCTACCTACGGCGCCCGTCTGCTATCCACGCACCCTCTGACTGGTACATCCAACAGATAGCGGTTGCTCCCTCTGAAATCTAGGCTCCCTAGGCTAAACCCATTAAATCTGGCGGCGGTTGGCGCCACTAACCAGTGTTGTTAATATCAACAGACAACCTCTCGGTCGCTCGCGACCAGATCAAAGGTCTCCCAAGGCCAACGAACGAAAGAACCTACCAGAAGCCCCTTTTTTCAATGATCCGGGTGATCTGTACGTGCCGATTCCGAGTTGCCACACGAAAGAATAAATGCACGCAGCTGAACACCAGCAGAAAACCTGCCACAGACCGTCACACAAAACGCCGCTCGGTCGCTCGGTCGCAGTCAGAGCTCTCCAGAGGCCAACGAACGAAAAATGCCGCACAGAAGCCCCATCCTTTGGTGATACGTGCGTTCGACCTTGAGTGTCTCTATGAATGGATTAACGCATACGGCTGAACAACCCTTTAAATCGGGCGGCGGCTCGCTTCACCCAGACAGCGTTTTTAATATCATCGGATAAGCTGCTACACGCCATTCTACAAAGCACCCGGAGGTCAATTCCCAAGGCCAACGAACGAAAGAAGCCGACACAGACAGCAGCTAGCAGGGCGTATAGTGACTCGCCAAGGGCAGAGCGCCGCAGCGTGGCGCTACGTCTTTTGCGCTGCAGCGTCGCCCTTCGACGACACGCTCGGGCGATTCCGGCCCGCCACGCACGAGTGGAGAGAATCGAGGCATGAGGGAGACGTATGGGGAGCGATATACTCACAAAGGAACACTTGTCAGATACTGCATAAGCTTCCTGTAGTCCTCGTCAGAGAGGCTGCAAAAGGCACCGCTGTCCGGGAACGTCAGCACGGGGTATCCCTCGCACGTCCTCCCTCCTGGAACAAAAAGGACCAAAAGCAGGCTATTTAATAAACTAATATGTACTACACTACTTCATTTTTTTTTTTTTTGTATCTGCCGGATTGCAGGAAAGGTTTAGTTCAAGTTATAGTGACAGAACGCTAAGCTTAAGTCCCATTCTTTGAGCTATGATGATAATGCAATTAATGCAAAGGTGCAAGCGAGCTGGACAAGAATTGCGATAATAATCCCTGGAGAAGGGGACCAAGGGGGACAAGGGACAAAAACAAATCTCCACACACAGCTAGGTGACTGGTGCGCGACCGAAAAAATCCGCCTGGTCCTGGTATCGAACCAGGGATCTCTCCGTTTCCCGTAGAACGCTCTACCAACTGAGCTAACCAGGAGTTAGACGTCAGTAAAGGAAACGGGTTCTATCAGCTGCGACCAGTCTAAGACCAACAAGGGTGAACGGCCTGCATTTTAAGGTTATGATGATAATGCAATTAATGCGAAGGTGCAAGCGAGCTGGACAAGAACAAGAGGTCTCTGGTTCGATACCAGGACCAGGCAGATTTCTTCGGTCGCGCACCAGTCACCTAGCTGTATCTGGGAATTTGTGTTTGCCCTTTGCCCCCTTGTTCCCCTTCTCAGACTATTATCATCGTCTTTGTGCAAGACGGTGGCGATCCGAGGCGAAGCGCCGGCCGACGGATTCCCAGGCGGCAGGGTACGTGCAATCTGACGGAGGCTAACTGCGGAGAAGGTGCCGTTGTAACTGAGGTTTAGGTTGCACGTAAAAAGATTTCCAGGTGGTCTAACATAATCTTCAGGCCTTCGCTGAACTTTATGACAAACTGAGAGATCATCCGACGTTTTGGAGATTGGAGACACGGAAGAAAAGTGCGGGCCCGGGAGGGGGGTATGCCATCATGGTCACCGACAGGGCGAGAGGGCGTCTTTTACGAAAAGACTGAGTGCGCAGGCGAGCTGGTGGTAGCTGATCATGTCGTTTAACACCGGATACTGTGGTGAAGAAAATTAAGAACTTCTAGTCGAAGGAACAGACACAGAAGGGGACGATGAGACGCCCCCTTCTGCGTTTGTGCCTTCGACTAAAAGTTCTTCATTTGTTTCACCACAGTCTCCGGAATCAAACGACACGATTAGCGTCTTTTTCCGATGCCCAGCAGCCTCCCACACGAGCGCTCGTTGCATTCCGTCGTGCTCGCGCGTGCACGCTCGATGCTCACGAAACGTCAGAATGTTATCCAAGGTAAGAAACTCGCGCTGGAGGCGGGACGAAGCGGAGAGCAAGTCGTCTGCTTTTTGTGCAGGAGTTGCGGTGACGTCAGAACGACGCCGAGCACTGAATGGCTTTGATTGAAAGGATAGTGGGTAGAGCTCGACGCTAGATGCCTTGAGGTCTACCCACTATTTTGTTTTTCAATCGGCCAATAAGAGCTCGGCGTCGTTCTGACATCACCGCAACTCCTCCGCAGGAAGCAGACGACTTGCTCTTCGCATTGGAAGATCTCCCTACCATTCTTATCCTGTTGGTTACTATATGGTTACGCACATCCTCGAGAATACAAAGAGGTGGCTACTAGGAAACTTCACATGCCCGCAAAACAAAAATAAAACAAATCGGCGCAAAATTAAAAGAAAGAAAGAAAGTTATGAGAGCAGAAAAAGGGACAGCGCTTCGCCTTGCTTTGTTGTTTTTATCGGCGTGTATACTGCGTGTTGGCAAACGTCGACGTCTGCGATTTGATTTTTTTTTCTACTACATTCGCACAGGTGGTTAGTGTCGAACCTAAGGCTGCGCTTCACATAATGCCCTTACTGTAGAGTGGTGCGCTGGTAGTTTCGATCACAGCGTTGCAGCTAGCTGTTAAAGAAAAATGAAATTAATAGAGCTTACCGGGTCGCGCGCGCTTTATACATTCGTCGAAAACTGGACTAGACGAGTATTTGAGGTTAATATTATATTCAATTTAAGTGGATCAATTAACCGGTTGACGTTTCGTAGTGGAATTTTATAGATTTGGATTCTTGCGATATCATCACGCAAAGAGTATTCGCCCCGTTACACTTGCCGAATGCCCTCTTTTTTTCTCACAGGGGAACAAAGTTTTTAGATTTTGCAATTACTAAATCTTATTTTCTTGTTCTTACACAGGAGCGACATGTTTAGAAGCCGCGTTGTTTTCTTCCCTAACGTTTGCGATGATCCGAGTTATATTTTTAGTTTCAAGCATACTACGCAGCCCTGCGAAAAAACGGGCACAAAACAACCCTGAAGAAAAAAAAAACACGTATTGCCATGTTGCAGTGCTAAACTCGGTCGCCCCTGCTTTTAATATACCACCGCACGCACCTGAATGATATGAACTTCGCAACACGATTTACAAGGACCAAATTTGCAACACACTCTTTTTGCAATCGAACCACAATTCTGAATTAATTCACCAGAAACAAAAATGGCTGGAGTAGCACGAATGGCAGAGCGTAATTAGCGCCTCCATCGCTCACCTGTGAGGACGACGTGCCTTCCCTTGATGATGTCTGCCACATCTCGCACGGTCAGTGCAGTCCCCCCCTCCATCGTCTCATCTGGAACGGCAGAGGGAAACCAGAGGGACCTCAGTTTGTGCCAGACCATAGCGCCTCGCGGGAACAGCACGCGTAGCATAAGTTCAGCGCGGCGCAACAGCAACGGGACGAAGAATGGGAGCCGGCAGAACGCGGAGCTCGAGATGGCTGCAGTCGGCAATGACAGGTGACGCGACCAACAAGGCAGCGGAAGAACGCAGACGCCTCGAACATTGTCACGCCACCGAGCAAACGTCACAAGCATGACGTAAAAAAGAAATGCAACGTCACGGTCTCGTAGTTTATTCGGGCCCGTAACAGAATGGATTATACGTCGTTTCACTTCAATTCAGAGCGTATTGTCGACGCTGTAAGCAGACGGGGGCGATCGAGTGGCGTCAAAAGTCTAGGTCGGAGAGTTCGTCATCTTTCTATACGAGTATATACTCTATCACCGGCTAACCTAATCAAGTACAGTGGACGCGCCATGACCTTGTACTTTTAGTGTATGCTTCCGCGTTTGCGCGCCTCGTAGCCTTTGACTGCGCTCTGACTAGAGTGAAACTAAACATCACGTCGGTGGGGGCTTTATAACGTGGCAAACGTTGATCGCTGGGCATGATACACCGCTTCACCCGATCCCCCGATTGGTCGCGTCACGTCACCAAGCACGCGTTGAAGCGTTCTTTTACGTGAAATGTAAGCGCTGACGCGGATTCGAACGTTCGTTGAAAATAGAAACATCGTAGGCTGGAAATAACACCGGGGCGATGACTAAAATTATTTTAAACTATTACGATTGTTTTTGCTACTCTGTATTTTTTTCTCCTGATTAAGGCACTCCCTTTTATCTTACAATGAATTGCAAATAATGCTACGTGCCATTTAAAAAGAAATGAAAAGCCGCGTGACCTTCAGGAAAAGCGCGCGCAGGGCGCGGAGTCAGGTGGTACGTTCACTGCGCCGTATTGGCTGGGATGGATCTGTAGCGTACGCCGAGGTCCACCTAAGGTGAAACTTGGAAAATCAAATATATTTGAAACCTCAAAAATTGAAATCGATTTCTTGTTATGCAAATGTTCGAAGAAATACGCATCACTTTCCCGAAATTCGATTAAACGGTTCCATTATTCCGACGCAGGGAAACGCCAAAAGACACGTGGTAGCGGCTGGGGTCGTTAGCCGCGTTTTTATTCAAATCTCCAAGTGCATGCAAGTTTTTTTGTTTTTTTTTAATCCTTGAATTTAGAGCTTTGTGATTTTGCCGCCACGCATTGTGGCAGTTTCTTGAATGGTGCGCACTGTACAGTAAGAGGTCATCGCTGGGTTGTGCATACTGCTTTATTTATTTTACTACAAAGCTTAGAACAGCTTCATATTTTGAACATTGCATACTTTATTTTTTTTTTTCAAATATTCTTCTAGTTGCAGCAGGAACCGCGAGTCCAAATGGCCCATCATAGCGCACTGGACTATATAATGCCCCTCCATGCACTCGACGCTTGTACTCGGAGCTGCATGGACGCAAGTAACCTGAGCAATATCCCTTTTCAAAGCGACAACCGCTCTCATTCGCAGCCTTCACTTTATCACCATCAGGTATGTGCACAAGGTTGAACGACTCGAGGTCTTACTAAATCGAGAAACTTTAATCCTTAGCACGAGCGCATAAACAGCATTTCAGGGTACCCCCACCTGGTTCAATGGCACGTTTAAAAAGTCAGCGCCCCCCATTAGCTGCTGCGTCAGTATTTAGAATCCGCCATTGCCTGGGCATGCGTATACTTTGAGCACGTATACATCTTTTCTACAAGAGCGCAGCCATCTTGAATATCGTCACTTCTGGTATGCGGTAAAACATCCTTTCGATATTTCCGTGCCGCTGGAAAGTTTTTACGAAAAATGCGTGATTGCCCCACATTCTTATTTTGCCTCACCTATATTTCCTCGCACATTCCAGGTTAAGATGTTTTGTTATTTTTTCGTCTCGCATACCAGATACCGAACCCACGTGACTGAGGACGCCACGAAACAGAAAACGTCTGTTTCCAAACAAGCCCGCGTTTGCCCACACCAGGCGTGGGCATTGCGCGTGCGCATGAAGCCAGATTCGCGTCAGGCAAAGCGTCCGCGCATGCGCAGTGCCCACAGCAGCGCCACCATGAGGGCTGCCTCAGCCCTCGGCGAGTACTCGGATCCAAACTGACGCGTCGTGCCCGAGATATCGCGACCGTCGATCTGGATCGATGGGGTTTTGAAAAAAGGTTCACCGAGTCAATGGAGTAGTTGACTGGATCGCTAACGTCCGCCAAGCGGATTCTTACAGCGTGTATAGCTACAAAACCACACATAAGTATTAACGATAGCTGTTACTGGGCAACGTATCATTCACGGATACCACTAGTGAAAAAGACGTTGATCGTTCGAAGCGTTTGACGATAATTGAATGAGCGTGTTCAGGTGTGCAACGGCGTTCGAGACAGCATGCGAGCACAATATTTCAGCGCGACCATATACAATCCAACCCATAGATTCACGCCGCTCAATTACCACCGGCCATTAACGGGACCCTGCCCATCCCCCTACCCAATCGGTGCAGGCAACAAATATATATCTTAATTCTACGCATAAACCTGAAAGGCACAGAGTGTGCAGAGGAAGAGCGTATATTTTTTTACTTATAATTAATTAATTACCATTATTATTTGCTCGAGTAGCGCAGAGACAGACGGTACTCCGTGGAAAATCGCAGTTTCTTATTTGGCGATTGTTTTTTTTTTCTTTTTTTTCCAGTCTCCGTTTTATTTGAGATAGATAATTAGCGGGGCTTACTAAATTTAACCAAATTTTGCGGGAACGTTTAAGTCAGCCAAATTTAGCGACAATGTCACGGTGCTCCGCAAAGCTTGTCTCACGGAAACCAGCCCCCTAACACTCGTCCGCGTTTCAAAACAATTACCGCCCACACGCGTCGTACACACCAATTAGTGCCGGATACATTTTAGAACCCCGACCGAAGCTCGTCCCACGTGTGCACAGGCGGAGTACCTCGGGAAAAACCCCATCAGTATCTAATAATTACCTCATAAGTATCGCCCCCTAAGCTGACAGTGCAACGGGAGCCACGAGTTCTCCGGGCCAATCAGCCGCCTGCCTTGAATCGCCCAACCCCGCTCTTCGGGAGCGTGACCGCGTGGCGCAAGATGAACGTGAGACTGGTCAAGCGGGCACACGTAGTTTCCACCGTACTGTCAGCTTAGGGGTGGACGGAGTACAGACGCACACACGCGAACAGCGGAAGGCTTTTGGGGGGCATTGGTGCAGCGACGCGATTGCCCGCATGGTAACGATGGCAACGGGGCAAATTGAATTCCGGCTCGACGACATCACCACCCCCCCTCGGGTCCAGGCTAACCTCCTCGGTTGGCGTGCTGCCCCGCTGGTCGCCGATGGACCGAGACCAGCAGCGGAGGTCGTCCGGGTCGCGCCTTTGCTGTACAATGTATGCGCCGAAACCGTTGACCCGAAGCGCCAGAATCGCCGCTACATGTGCGTGTACACTGCGGGAGCCCTTCCTTTTTTTCGTAGTCAACGGGTCGATCCCGGTCAAGGTGTGAACTGAACGAAGTGAGACTATATAGATCGCTCCGTTGACTCCGATAACGATTCTCGACACTTTGCCGACGCCTCGGCCCATGCATCGTAATATTAGGGAGTTTTCGTAGACCGCGTTTCTCCCTCCGCTAATCTCCCCGCAACGAAGAGGCCACTACTGCGCCTGCGCGCCGAAGGCCTTGACTGTAGAGTTCCGGGTAGCGTAGCGGGTTGCGGGGAGCCGTTGCGGGACGACGAAAACGATCTACAAAAACTCCGTAATATTTTCTGCGTTCCGATAACGATAGCGGGTAACGATACGGTGCATACGTGCGAAGGCGCCAGCGAAATATCGGGTAGGAGTTATCGGAACGACCTAATAAAAAAATAGTATTTCCATCTGCTGTTTCTTCTCATCATGGGGGCTTACGGAACGGACAGTACAACTTGGGTGGGCTTCAAAGCACGCTTCGAGGTGGCCGCGCCGGCTCCCCGACACCGATATCTGCTCTCCAATGTTTCTTCTCATCGTTTCAAACGGCGCTCCATTACTCATTCCGGGTCCGACTGAGGTTCTTCGTGTCCTCCAAGCCGCAGTCAGACTGCTCGTACACTAAAAAATTAAAAAAAAAAAAAAAAAAAAAAAAACGTGAGTTTTTTGTGCAGGCATGAAGACATAATCATCCGCGGACATGACTCCTCAAGCATGTTCGAAGCCGGTTGGCTTCATATATGCTTTCGAACGTGTCTGCAGGCTGTCTGTTATCTTACGCATTAGCAGTGCGGTATGACGTTAATAATCACGCAAGTCTCGTGTTGACCCGAAGGTAAATCGGCTCACCTTAATTATTCCTATTTTTTTTTTTTTTTTATTGAAGCGTAATTTTTGTTGTTAGATGGCCGAAAGCTTACGTCCATTGGAGAGTGCATTATAGCTTACCATCAAGAGAGGCAGTTTGGACAAGTGCGCACATGAAAAAAGGAGAGAGAGAAAAATAAATATTTTAAAGCGAAACCTTTATGCGGCGCTGGACGGAACGGCCGGTTACTATCCACAATGTGGAGATTGTAAACCGAGGTCACTATATGCGAGCGAAGCGGACCGTAACTTCCCCGGGCATTCAGCGATGGTTTCCGTTCACGCGTGCGAGAGAGCACTATAGAGGTCAGAGCCGTTTTAACCGGAAGTGGACGCTGCCGACCGCGAGAGGTGCGCAAATGGCGCGCGATGAAACTGCAATATCGGCATCTCGCCGGGGAACCCGGATGGAGAGTAAACGCAAAGAACGAAGAAACATATTCGCGAATGGCGAATAAGACGGGCAGGGCAATCAATGAGCTTCTAGGTCGGTAAAAAATGATTACCGCGTTTTCTTTTATGTATGTATGTATATATATATATATATATATATATATATATATATATA